TCAAAGTACATGGCCAAGGTTCGCAATGCCTCAGGCATCCCACAATCGTCATTTCACGGCATTGCTGGGATGCTGCCATGCAGGAGCCAAGCCCAACGGATGAACATTTTATTCCATAGCAAGTTGGACAGCACAAAGCCTCTCGGCAGCCACTCCAAGCAAGAAAGCAGGCTAGCGGAGAGACGGAAAGAAGAGATGGATCACAGAGAAGGAAGGCACGTCACCTTCAATGGGAAAGACTCTCGTTCACACTGAGCTTCTACTCATCGGGATGTTACATGTGTAGCGGCATCAAGAAAAGCAGATATGTACCGATAGATGACAATCTCCAGGGTACAGCGGTGCAAGTGCTGTACACTGCACATGGAAAGAAACTTGCAGAACGTGAATGCTCCTGAATTCGGATCACGTACACGCATACATGTACATGTACGTACACATGTACATGTACGTCTATACCACATACCAGAGTACATTGTTTGGCAGGTAATTTGCATTAATTCATCACTCTTGGAATTAGAAAATGTGTTCTGAACTTACAAAATCTTATTGTCAGATGTGTGTTCTGCACACTACAAAAATGGACACACAAATTTGCACTAAAATTAGAATATTTTTGCTGAGCAACTTCCTCAAAGAGCCGTTTCAGTATTCAGACAGCCAAGGCCTCAAAGGAAGCACGTTGGGCAAATACTGTACATGTACATGTACACAGATGCGTAGGTCATCCATGACCATCAATGTATACATGTACGTGCGATGGTCGGCCTTACCAGCATGGCCGTTCCATATTCCAGATGATCATGAGGTAATGTCAGGCGCTTTGTTCTTGGGAGCCCTTGCCCTTCTGAAATACAAGCACTGGTGCCCAGCTCGTTCTTGTTAATTCTCGTCTCTCTGTATTTGTCGATAGAGTGGATACCAGCAACTTCAACACCAATCTCAGAGTACCAGCATGAGCATGTCAAAGACCTTACTTTACATCTACATGTATCAGAATTTGGGTAAAAATAATTGGGAACCCAAAGGAAAAAAAATGAACAATTTTTCATACAAGTACACATTCTCAGAAATTTTCACTGTATATACATGTACAGTATGTGAGTGCACCAGCACTGACAATTTCAAGGAAAGAATTTATGATCAAATACAATTAGCCTGAATTTTACAAGACAAATTTTTCAACTGACCTGAATGGCTAATCTGTGTTTGTACACAAACAAGCAACTGGATAGTAATCTGACTATTATTATTAATTGATGTTTTACCAACAAGTGTCAGCGTTAGGTATGTACGGTATGCTACAGACCGTGCATGCTTTGGCAAGTAACAGGTGCATGATTCTCCCCCCCCCCACTGAACTATTGCAAATCTGTGCAGTACCAAAATTCAGTTTCTTTCACAAATACCCACTCAAAAGGGTCACCACAGTTCCCTTCCCCGAGGAAGTACAACTGACCCTACTCGACTGGCCGGCTGAACTTGAACTGCTGGGATGGGGAGAGAAAAAGTACACGCCACCCGAGCAAGAAAGCCCACAAGACTGTCTCCAAAATAACAAAGAGATAATTAAAATGCACTTTCCCGAGCGGCACAATCCAAGTCACCAAATTTCTGACGCAGTACCAGTAAAGCTGAAACGGAGCAAATTTGTCACTCCTAGTATTCCTCTCTACACTCCAAGCAGCAGGGGAAGTTTTAAATAATTTTTTCTAATGATCAGTTCGAGGATTTTTTTCCTGCCCGCGAAGCATTCATTTACGAAAATGAGGTAAAATTAATTTGATATCCTGAACTACGGGGAGATCTTTGTGGCGGCAAAAGTGTCATGTCCTAGTGGGCGCGTTTCCTGAATGCCTGAGTTTGGCCTCGGGGCACACAGACAGAGGAGACTGGGAGAAGTTGGTCCAACGGAGTGGGAGAAAGTTTCTGTACCCATCTTGGTGAGGGATGATGGCTGAGATGACCACTAGGGCAGTGGGTCGAGTGGCACGGTGAAGGACTTAATTCTACGATCAGCAAGGGAGTCTGGACCAGCAGTCTGGTGGCACGACTACTTGAAATGCACACTACAGAATATTTGCCTAAAAAGTACTAAAAAAGTGTTTGCCTGATTGTGTCATGCACCAGTTTATTTCAGTGGTGTAGCAAGTTGTTCCCCCCCCCAATAAAAAAAAAGATGTTGCCTTTTTTTGTTTCTTTAAGTACATGTAGGGCTGTGCCGAATATTCGATCGACTGTCGAATATTCAAATATTATTTTTCAAATCTGAATATTCAAATGCAAAAATCATGAAATGGATGGGAAAGTTGTCTTTTTTGTTTTAAATTGGTGCGTTCGATTAGCTTCCCTGAATACACCAGTATTACACGCAAGGGAAGCCTTGACTTACGAGGGTGTAAGCTACCAGTACATGTAATTGAACAGACCAAATGAGAAAAACTGCACTATGAAGGCTTGTTTCAAGCAGATTCAAATGAAAAATGTCAGAAATCTTACAATGATTTAAAAAGTAAATTATTCATTAAACAATTTATCTGGAATAGAAATTTTCAACAGGGCAAGAAGTCTTGTTCATCTCTTAAGTCTTGCTTAATTGTGGCTGGACATACTCCTAGATGTGAGAGGCTACTATATTGATCATAATGTACAATTGTGTGCATTATTGTAACTGATTTTGTATATGGTTTGTTCATCAAACAATCTGCCGGTCAGTAAAATGACAGAATATTCAGATATTCGATCAAATTGAAGGTCAAATATTTGAATAGTGAATTATTCGAATTGTCCATCTTTCAACTTAATTGGATTTAATCATTTAAAGTCTTGAACATCAGCATTTTGGATGGATGTTAACAACCTGTTTACCGAGGAGTGATAGTCCCTGCGGTTAATTTACACAGATTTATATGTGGTGAAAGGTGATAATATTTACACATATTGAAACCGTAGTCAAGAAATCAAAAATACCTCTCACAATTAACCCGGCCCCGAAGTCAGCAGTCGGGAACGTCATTTGATTCTGTTATTAATGTCAAAAAAATCAACTGCAAAAAAAAGCAGCGAGTAAAATCAAAATCAGTGTACAAAACAAGCTTTGAAAAAAGTGCAAAAAAGCACCCCCAAACCATCATCCTTTTATGACTGGACCAATCACATTTTCTTCAAGTACATTTCCGGAAACAATACCGATCGTGGCAGTTTTGCGCCTTCTGTCATTATCTCGCAGTGCCATTGGAGAAACGTTTTGCTGCATCGTGGCCTGTTTGACCTTTTGACATCAACCCAGATAGTGTGCCCTCTTTTTCATTCAATATTCATGAGCCCCTCCACAGAATGGCAACGCTCTGAGATTTTTCTCTTCAGACCAAGGTTTCTCGAAAGAAAATCGGACGTTCAAACGTCATCAAAATTCTGTCAAATATGACATTCGCAACGAATATTTTGTACACATTATACATTTTTGATGCAGCCAAACTTAAAAGATAATTTTTGGTGGTTGAAAGGTGTAAGACCTGGCAGATATGCTGGCATAGTGAGAGTGATTATAAATGGTAAGAGAATGAAGAGAGCCAAACCTTTCTCATCATTTTCCGTCAATTTTGTGCTCTTTTTTTGACGGCTGTTATTTTATTAAAGTCATTTCTTAGGTGCTTTAAAATACACCAGTTAAAAAATCTACTGAATTCTCCTTGTCGCTGAGAGAACTTTTGAAATCAAGTCCTCTGGTGCAAACACTTTGACGTAAAACTTTAATTGAATTCAACTCAATTAGATTTGCACTGGTAGCCAACCAAATGCCCACCAAATGAACACATTATGCCTAATAATCATTTTAATAAATCTGACGGTGCTAATTTGTATTTTACATGATCAAAGTCACTCTTTTAGAAGTTTAGAAAAATGACATCCGGAGTTGCATTTTGGTCCATTTTATGAAGAACATGCCACATACACGTACTCATGTATATGTACATATATGTACATGTACCCGTACGTTGAAACGTGAACAGCGTGCAATAACCGTACACAGCCTGACTCAATCGGTCATGGCTGAGGGCAAGACAAGAAAAGGACCATTTTTGTGGTACAGACACATCTGCAAGGTTGAAAAGGGCCGGAAATTCGTTTAAAAGTTGAAAATATCAAATATCAAAAGAAGTCGGGCGGTAGGGAAAATCCGACATTGCCCGGTCGGGCGGTAATGATAAACAAGGAATTAATTGAATTGACCTTACAAGCATGACAAGAACTAGATACTAAAATAAAAAAAAACAAAATATTGCATGGGTCTTTTAAACTGTTACAGTGCATTTCTGAAATGGAGCAAGTCTTGACAATTTCTTTAAAAAAGTGTTTCCTGTCGCCAGTTTTGGGCTTGATCTTCTTTGAATTGACACAGGCATACATGTGTATGATAGGCCCTACATCCCGTAATTGTTATGAAAAAACTCCCATAGCGTGACAACACTCTGCAAGATTCTAGGACTAAATGGTTCAACATTTTCGGAACCAAATTTGACTTTCTTGGAAATTGGCCTCATATTCACAACTCTCTGATTAATGCAAGAGAAAACTAGTGTCTAGTGATGAACTCTTCACCGACGTTGGTTAATTATGTGGCAGTGTACATGATGTACTATGTAGGCCTACATGAAAACTTGTGCAAGTTAAACCATCTGACCAATGGAAGCTTCGGAAGTGTTGTTAGTTCAATACTGTTTTGTTTTCCGGGACTTGATATCAAAGTCATTACGTCTTCAGCATACCGAGGGCTACATACACCGGTAGCTAGTGCCTGTCACTGCTGCGGCATGGTCCAGTACCCAGATTGATAACATTTTTGCACGTGACAATGACAGACACGCACAAAAAAAACAGGGTTGGCAAAATGGACGTCAACTGGTCAAGACTAGGACAGAACGAAAAAGAAGCATGCATATGCTGAATTACAGGCTTTAAAAGCAATGCACTATTGAAAGCACACAGAAGCAACTTACCTTGGTCTGGTTGGTGAAATATTGGAGGTTTTTTCGTCGGACGTTATAGAGTAAAACAGCAAAATCCTGGCCGCCCGCGCCCGTCCTGTACTCTCGCATTGCAGCGTGAACTCCCTTCACTGTGCTGTGCCGCCAGAGTATTTATTTTGGTCTGAGCTTGTTTGCCAGCAGAGGGCGCTGTGTATCATTTGCAGACCCGCCAAAAATTAATAATAATCACCCAATAAACTCATGGTTCTGCACGCAACCTTTTCTTCTCAAAAATTCGAAATTTCATGTACTTTAAAAAATATATCTGAGCAAAATATTTTTCAGTGCCCAAAAGGGTGATGCCTTTGTATCTCAGCTGTTATCATTGGTGGATCAGTTCCGACTCATTACTGCCGAATTGCTTCGATTTGAAATATTCTTGTAGTCTTACTATTGTATGCTTTCTGTCATTCTTTAGCCTTTTTTACAAGGATCGACTGATTTGCCCGAAGACCTGAAGAACTGAACTTCCGGTGATCTATCGCTTGCATGCGTACGCCACGCATTAATAATACTGCATAAACTCTCGCTCAACTGTATGATGAACATCATGAAGGGTTTTTTCATGACAGCCATGGCAGGTTGACTGATGCCGGGGGTGGCGGAATCGGAGAATGATTTGGACGGCAAACAGTCTGATGGTAATACATGATCACGGCGGTATGATGGAGAAACTGTGGCGCCGTTTAATGAGGCCTACAGGGAGGTCGACTACAAAAAAAAAATTCATCATGTGCCGGTGACGATGACGATACAAATCTTGGTTGCGAGCTCATTAATATCTCTTGAATTTATAGGGTAAAAATGTTGACTAATTCAATTGATAATGACGACAGGACATTGACGAGAGTATACACACTGAATGGTGATGAGGATTATGGTGATCAACATGATAACATTATCACCATCTCAAACCTTTGACCCAGACTTTATACTCTGGTCATCTCAGATACCAATTCCTTAGAACTCCATAATTTTATGTGCATAATATGAGTCACGGTGAGGCTATGTGTTCGAGTGAAATGGATGAGTCATAGAATTTAGGAATTATAAATTAAGACGGCCACATGATCACTTAGTGTGAACATTCCATTCTGTTCACGTCCGAATGTGTAGGCCTCCTGTAGTGCAGTCCCGCACAGTTTTAAAGGTTCCGGGCACTTTTTGAGGTGAAAGAAAACGATCGAAGATGGCATTTATTTTACGCGCTGCGGCTGGAATGGTGATGGAAGCCTTTAACTGCAGATCCACTTGCCACTCAGTGGCTATTTCCAGTGTAGATTTTGTCACGGTCATATCGCCGGCCGTAGCCAGATTATTTGGATACCGGGCGGCAGTAAGCTTTCTCCCTCAGGCTACCGCGACAGGCACTGGGTTTATGATTTCACCCCTAGTATCATCATTCATTTTGGGGGATGAAAATTGGAAGATATGTCCGAGACAAACTTATTGCGTGTCAGGTCTCGGAAATAAATCAAAAACAATGGGAGAGGGAGGATAAAAGGTTTCAATTATTATTATTATCATTTAAGTTACTAGTACATTTTTGACCCACAGTAACCACCCGTTCAAAGGTCAGTGGTACCAGCTATGAATTTCTTTTGAGTTTTCATTGGATGGATTCGGTTTGCTTGTTGATCCGGATCAACTCTTCCCTGCACGGTGTTCAAGATGCTCACATCCAGAATAAACATGCACTGATGATGGCGCGGCTAAGATACCCACAATGCTTTGCGTTTCCATATTAACATAACATCAAAGTTGCAGCCATCAAAAAGCGCCCCCAACACAGCCAGAAATCCGTCGGCATGGTACTGTTTTGCAACATTCATTATGCACAAAATACCACGCATTAAACTTCCATGAATTTTGTCCAATCGCTCACAATGGCTTATCTCGTGAATTATTAAACATCGTGAAACGACCACAATGCTGATAATACGAGTCCTGCCCCCCAACGAGATCCTTACAAAGGCCCTTTCAAAATCTTGTTATGATGACGGAACTTGACCACAATAATACTGACTGAAAGGGGAATAACGGAGCATCACATACGCAAATGATTCCCCAATCACCGGTACAATCGTCCAAAAAATCGGAGTTAAATCAGAGTTGGCAAAATGGGAGAAACTTCACTTTATTATTCAAAGTGTTAATATGCGTTTGTCCTTATATGGTCCGGTGGATCACGACTGCGGCTTTTGATTGGCCCGATTTTTTAGCCATGGAAAACGTCATAGTTGCCCGGATGTCCGCCATCTTGGAGGGAATCATACGCGAAGTGGTTTTCTTTCGAGTTTGAGGCGCAGTTTGGACGTTATTTTCCAAGGGCAGCATCATTTGAGTAACAATGACTGTAAGTTCTAAATGCATTCCTATTATTACTTCTGCTGTGAGACAAAGAAGTGGACATTTAGTGGCGCATTGGCTTGCAAATCACCGCGTTCTGTGCGTGTGGGCTCCGCCCGAAGCATCACCGATTTGAAACGATAGAGGGCGCCACTAAATTCGTCTGAAACATGGCAATGTCCGGTATTTTTAACACTAAAATTTCGAGGAAAAGAGAACTGCAGTCTCACGAATTAACCCAACATTCGACGAAATTGGGTACAAAGCCTACGTACCCTTGGAATGAAACGGAAAATAGGTCAAAACATTTCATGAATTCACTGAAAACGTTGATACCCGTAACCCATCGTGGCCAAGGGCAGGCCTTAAAAATGGTGACGAGTATTTTTGGAACTTTCTCATGCATGTCATGTGCAAAATGTGGGTGGGGCCGCTAAGAGATAGACATGTGAATTCCTATGCAATTAAAAAGGTGTTTATCCAATACCATGAATATTGCATTCAGTCAAGAATTTTGTAGCAGATTACATTTTATAAACCTAGGAAAAAGCCTAAAAGGACATGGAGGTTGTCTGTCGTTGTGTAGTGACTGAACACTACGCCTATAAACATGATAAAGAGTTCCTTACTCTCCCATGACTGTTGATCTCTAGAACCCAAGAATTTGGCCTGACTCCAGAGTTAAGAAGTTAGCTACTGCCTACCATTTTGTGTTTTGATTTTCAAGATATGGTTTTTAGGAATCTAAAATTCATGTACCGTACAGTATGTGGTTGAGTTTACTATGTACCCTGCTGAGTCAAATGTTGGGTTCGTCATATCATTACATTTCCAGATTGAATACACCTGAGAATGAAATTACAATCAGACAGTGGACCTTTTCAGCCATGTCAGACTATTATTTTCACGCACCTTGTAGAATAAGATGACAGCATGTCGCAAAGGACAATGACCTTGATAATTGGCAGTGTCAAAGCCAGTGATGTTGGGCCACTTTCTGTGTTTGCTTTTAGCCTCTTAGGAACACCATCACGCCTATAAATTATGTTGAACATTCGCTCGAGATCACATTGCTGATGATCTCTGTCATGTCTGTGCCTGACTCCAGTAACTAGTCGTGGAAGGCACCTTTAAAGATTCTGAATATACATCTTTTGTGGCAGCCTGTCATTCACTTCCTGGTTTGCTTCCTCATTCAAATGTACAATAACTGTGACATCGTCTCAGAGTTTGCCATGTCATGCTTCCCCTAGGGCCCTTGAAAATTGAAAGGGAATCAGGTTAGGGGCACAGAGTTGTATCAGGCTCTCCAAATCAGTGCCCAGATTTGGTAACATCTAAAGAGTAACAATGGATCCAACCTAAAACCTGAAATGAATTTCCAGCCAGTTGAATAGCATTATTTGTCGTCCTCGTACGTGGGTAAGGGAAATTTGCATGACAGATTTATTTTATAAGGATATAAAAAGGAGTGATTTGTATGACAAGAAGGTCTGCATCTCCACAACATGTATCAGAAATTTGTGAAAAATATTTGTCGCTTCCTATCTTTGAAGTGAACAAGAGCATAAATGTACATGAATTACATGTACACGTACAGTACATGTTCGTTATACATTTACAGTACATGTGTCTTTGGTACCTGGTCATGCACGTCGTACAGCTATGTTTAAGGTAATGCAGAACCAAAATAATGTAAGTATCGCAAGTTACTGGTACATGTACATGTACGTGGTACCAAGTCATGCAAGTTGCCTTGGCCTACTGTACATGTACATGAATGTGTTGTGTTCATTAATCCTGACGTTCCCAAATCCTTCAAAATCCTCCTTGTGTGTGTGGAGGATTTTGAAAAGATTGAGGCTGTGTGGCAGAAGTGTGTGGCTGATTTGGAAGGATGCATTGTGTCAAGGTCTTGGAGCAGACCTTGCGTTTCAGTAACTTGTATACTTTGTTTTTGCTGGGTTGTGTTGCAGGATCTCGTACTGTACGTGGATTCAAGTTAAACGATCCTCTAATGTTTAAGCTGTTCCCTTTGTTAAGCGTGCATGTACATGTTACTTAAATGGACAGAATTCAGCAGTGTTGGGTTTCAACGAGGAAGTACATGTACACGTATGTACATGTACACTGTATGTGGAATTTCATACATGAACGTGTACACCCAGACTTCGTGTAAACATGAAATCTGTCCTAAGCCAGTATTACCGCTTACCACATTTATTGGTATCTGCATTAATTTCTTTGGTACATTGTATGATATGAAAGAATGTTTCAAGCCACCTCGATGGGATGGCAGGTCATAACAGGTTATATTCCCCAGCTACCAAGGGTACCTGTTTTTTCCTAGGTGTGAACAGGCAAGTCTAGGTAGGTAAAGTGGCTTGCCTGTGGACACAAAGCATATGGCATGGTTGGTGATTTGAACCCCTTGTCCACTGATCATAGGTCACAAACAGGAGGCCCCATCTCACACACCTGCCCTGCACTCCCTTCCCCCTTCCCTCCGGACATATGAAGTGCTAGTATATGTACAAGTGCATGTATGCAGAACAGAACTTTATTACCTGAACCCTAACCCTGCCAGATTCACCAGATTCCAGTGGAAGTACCATGCAAGTCTGGTGCACTCTGTCACACTGGACAATCAACAGCAGTCGAACAGACTGGCCATGTTGAGACAATGGGAGCTTGTTCCATTGAACAGTGCCTCTGTTGGATCCTGCGGTGGCTGGCAACCACAGAGTCCTGGGCTGTTTGGGTTGTGATAGTCGGCCTGTTGGATTTTGTTGCACTGGACAGGCAAGTCACTTTGGCAAATGAGGCAGACTGCCGGGTCTGGCACGGTTTCGGATCAAAATACCTCGGAGGGTCAGGTTAACACCCCCCCACGGCTGTAAAAATCTGCCAGGAGTTTTGATTGTGATGGTTGTGTTGTTGCAGGAGAGACAGTTGGACTGTGCCTTAGACTTAATGAGGCGGCTCCCACCTCAGGCCATTGAGAAGAACCTCAGCGACCTTATAGACTTGGTAAGTGGAGACTGGGTGGGAGATGCTGTGGGTCGGCAAAGCAATGCCTCTCTCGCAGTTGTTTTATTTGATGGTTTGGAGTGGGTGACGTACATGTATGATTGAACTCAGGATGAAAATAGTCCATAGGATTGGCAAGTGGCATTGTTGCCACATTAACCCTAACAGTCCCAAATCCTCCAATTTCAATACAATTTTACATCCACCCTAGGGGATTAGGGTTAAAGGGGAAATAGGGGAAACCAAGATCCATGGTGTTGTTTGGAGCTGTTGCTTGTACCCTATATTACTGGGCTAGAATTCAGCCCATATACGGAATCAGAGCATGTAACTAAACCAAAGAAACCTTTAAACTTTGATTTGCCCTGCCCATCATCAGAAATTTTTGTATCTAAGAACGTATTTGGAAGCACTGGACTGAACAGTGCTTTTTAAATTCGCTGGCAAAGAGCTAATCAGAGATTTCAATTTACGTCTTGTCTGTGCCAAATTTGCTATCAAATGTTACTTGTCAAGGTGCTTGTGTTTATTTTTGTGGCCTGTTGGATGGTGTTCCATCCTAGTTAATGCCTTGGGAGAAAAAGGAAACCTGTCTATCTTAAGCATCCTGATGACGTAAACGACCAATGTTGCTGTATTGTTCCTGCCCAGGTACCAGAGCTATGTGAGGACCTGCTGTCGTCGGTGGATCAGCCACTAAAGATTGCCCGCGACAGCCATGCGGGAAAGGACTACCTACTGTGCGACTATAACAGAGATGGTGATTCCTACAGGTGGGCGTGGGCTGGACAGAAGGGGGCCTGAAGGGAAAGACTGTGGGTGCTGGACTGGGGGGGGGAGGTTTAATCCAGACAAGTTCAACTGGGGAGGTTGTCCATTCCTGCGAGTTTTGGTGGACCCCTGGAAATTTTGAAGGGATATGAGACTGTGGTGTAGTGTCCAGAACACTCGGCATTCCCAAGCTGTAAATTGTTGGAACTTGGAACAACCTGCTTCCCTCCTCTCATTGTCATTGGCGGGGTGTTTTAAGCAAAGATCTGAGTTTCTTGAACTTCTCAGATCCTTTATTCTCCACCGAAATGTTTGAAAGCTTTTGTAGGATTTAGGAAGGCAAAGCGTGGTCAATGTTACATCAGGTGTGAAGACACTTGAAGGACACAGAATGTGTTTTGCAGCGTAAAATCTTTGAAAGCATTCACAGTTATTGTAAATGAATATTTTGGGCCCTTTTGTTCTCTACAGGTCACCGTGGAGCAACAAGTACGACCCACCTCTGGACGACGGAGCCGTCCCGTCTGCCAAGCTCCGCAAGCTTGAGATAGACGCCAACGTTGCCTTTGACACCTACAGAGACCTGTAAGTAAAATCCGTCTGACAAAATAATCCATCTTCTCAAAGGAGAAACAGGCTTGGGGCGATGCACTATGTTGGAATCGGTTTGGATTCCAAAATGCAGAATTAGTGATTGATTCCCATGCCCACTTGATTTGATTCCGGACACTCAAAAGCAATAATAGTGTGGTGTTTTTTGGTCATGTTTTCAAGAGGGATCTCACTGCAGTGAGAATTATGCACCAGACTAGTCCAGGCCAATCGCCGTTGACTAGGAATGCATCTCATGGGGAAAAACTCAACTCAGACTAATGTGAAGCTATAGTTTCGGATCAACCTTGCTCCCGAGTTGAAGAGATTGGCTTGGGCTCTCGCTTGCTGTGCAGGTACTTTGAAGGGGGCGTGTCCTCCGTGTATCTGTGGGATCTGGACCATGGCTTTGCCGGGGTCATCCTCATCAAGAAGGCCGGGGATGGATCCAAGACCATCCAGGGCTGCTGGGATTCCATTCACGTCGTCGAAGTCCAGGTCAGTCAGTGCTAGTCCTTATTGACTGCTGAATATCTCAGATGTTGACCGCTTTGTCTCATGTGGCCAAAAGACACACAATTGGATAAGTGGATCACCTTTGACGTCGTCAACAATATTTAGTCCCAATTGAGTCCAAGTCAGTGTCCTGTTAATGAGTGCTGGATTTAAAGATTATGGCGGTAGTAGTTGATAATGAAAAAGTGGTGCAAGAACAGGAATTGTTGTGTACAAAGGTTTCTACACCGACACTGCAAAATCCACAACGCAAGATAATGACGTTGAAACACATTCACAACTTCAAATTGTTGATGCTGAAGCAAATCCACAATTCCAAATAAAGTACAAGGACAACTGAAAATGCGGATGTTGTAGCACATCCACTAAAAATGTTGCACGTGGAAAGTGCATCCACAACTCAAAATGTTGTTGAAATCAAGAAGAGTGAAGCAGAGGTGAGTGGACATGGAAGTGTCGGTAACCAGCTGTGTGTGGTTCGTTTCAGGACAAGTCCAGTGGCCGCAATGCACACTACAAGCTGACGTCCACTGTCATGCTTTGGCTTCAGGTTGGTAACGGGGTACTTTCCAATAAGGACAGATGCAGGGTGGCCAACAGGGGCAATTCCCTTCCCAAAATGTAGCCTTGCCCCTCAGAAAGGGCATAAAAGGTTACTTGAAAAACAAATTCCAAAGTTTTGTTCTGGATCCGTCTTTGCATTCCACTTTCATTTTCCGACATCGTGGTGGAATCAACTGCTCCACCCTGCGGTAAAACTTTCACTCCAAGCCGCTTTCTGATCCCTGATTTTGATCACAGACCAACAAGAGCGGGTCAGGAATGATGAACCTCGGCGGCAGTCTGACAAGACAGGCGGAGAAAGATTCGGCAGTGAGCGAAGCCACACCCCACATCGTAAACATCGGCAAGATGGTAGAGGTATACACAGCAGACCAGAGAATTTGTTTTCCAATATCAGAACGTGACTTACAACGGGGTTCATTTACTTCTCAAAATCAGGGGTTGGGCCGTGAAACAAGTAGTTTCAAGTAAGTGACTTTGAGAACATTCCCCATTTTTGTACTCAATTTTACAGGAAATGGAGAACAAAATGAGGACCACGCTTAATGAAATCTACTTCGGAAAGACGAAAGATATCATTAATGATCTAAGGTGAGTTTGTTAGAAGTGCTAATGTAGTAAGGATATCTCCTCACTTCTGGCAATGCGAATGACTTCATTGCCTGTTTAACCATACGCTGCTGGGGAGCCTGGTTTCGGGCACATAGGCTTAATACACCAAACCGGGGAGCCCGAAACCAGACAAAAGAGCCGGGCCCTTATAACAAAGACTGTACTCGGAACGAAGACCGAACTGCTGGGAATTGCCAACATTTTTTTCAGTTGTCAAAAGCAGAGGAAATCCATCCTTATTTTGGGAGAGATTATACCACTGTTTGTGCCATTTAGCACGAGCCGATTACCACTGGGGACAGAAGCACTCCAGCAAGGAGCGATACCTACCGCTGCACGCTAATCTGGCTCCTATTGAAAAGACGCCAGTAGCACACTGTGCTAGTTTCAGGAAGAAAAGAAAGTTACATAACACCACACAGTCTGGGCTCTTTTTAGAAGGCGGCAGGCCTTGGCTGAAATACTCGGGCGTCAATAGATGTCGTCTGTCAGATCAGTCGCCAGTTATTTGTGTGGGTGTAAACGTCCAGTAAATGAAGCTATGATTTTTTGAAGAATTGTGAAAACGGAAAATCATGAAAATCTCCTGGGTTTATGTCATGCAACTTCAAATTCCACCTGGCAGCAAGTGGTTAAACAAGATGATCTACTGTCAAATTGTACAAAGCGTATGTTGTGTAGATTGTCTGGAGTAGGATCCAGAAGTTGGTGGAAGGTTTTGTAGACAGACTCAAAATAAGTTTGGAGTCTACAGCGTGTTTTTAATTGTGCAGCTGTAAACGTGGTATTGCAGAAAGATGAATATTAATGCTAAAAATTTGCTTCTCGTCTCATAGGAGCGTCGGTAGCTTAAACGCAAAGAGTCAACAACAGCAACTAGCCAAGGAACTATTTCAGAACCTTCAGAGTCGCCAAAAATAGGGGTAGTGTTGGCACAGCGTCATCCTCTGTGATTGATATAATATCCTCCACGTTAACAGGCAAGTCAGGAGGTGGGGCTAGGGCTTTGGGGGCGTACAAAGATTTTGCAGTGGCACGGGTTCTCAACACCGCCACAGTCGATGACAGAAATCTCCCGCGTGGGTAGATGTGAATGGAAGTATGGAACGTTCTCAATTTATAAGGCAGACTGTCATTTATTTTGGTTTTCTTGTTTTACAAAATACCGGCACTGGTATTTATTGATTTCCTGTTCGCGTCTGCCACAGTCAGACAACAGTCGTGTCTCACTCCGGGACTCGAGACAAAATAAGAACTTAGGGACAGCATAATTAACAATTTTGGGAAGAAAAGCGAACAAGTTAGAATTCATTCCAAGCATGGAAGATAATGTTAACTTTTAAACAGGACGTGTTATTTATCTTCTTTTTTTCCATGCCTTTCAATTGCCTTTCACAGGATAACTCCAAAAATATGGTTAATCGCATTACTAACTTCATGCCTTGTGTTTATATTATTAACCATGTAAATGTAGAGGAAAAAGAAACCTGTCAGTCGAAGAGTTTGTTGAAATTTGAATTGCATATACTTGGTATTTAGTTACGTTTTTCAGAGTGTGCTTGGCACTCTCACAACAGTAGCTTCCTCTTTTTTTCCTTTTCTTCAGCGATGGAGGATGGAGAAATGTTGACAGTGTAGTCCTAAATTATTTCCAAACATGGCTATATGGCATGGTGCAGGCAGCAACAGATTTTGTTGTGATTTTGTTAGTGAATTGGCACTTGCATCAATGACCTATGTAAAGCAGGTACTTTTTGGTTGGTTGGGGGGGGCAGCAGTTGGGGAAAGTTGAGGGCCACAACTGCCATGCCAGAATGTGCTCCATTCAAACGAAAATTGGCCACCACTACAAGTCATTGACTTATTGCACTGTTGCCGCAGGTGAGCTGTGGCTTTGGAATTGTGGATACCATCCGATGTGGGGTTCTTGCCTTAATGCACTGCCACCTTGGCCCCATTTTGACTGTCTTCAATTTTTACATAAAACTTCCACATTTATTTCAGGGCGAACCCAAGCACTCGGCACTGGGCCAAACACATAGCAATGTAACAACACTTCTCCAAAATAATGTTAGGAAATAAACACGCAGTCTATTTGTATCCACCCCAGCACGCAAACATCCACTGATACTCAAGTGCAAAATTTAGATGCACAAATACGTACACTGAGGTTTACCCAGATTTTCATCAGCAGTTGGTGTTTTAGCAGCGCCACAAAAGTGGTCACCACTGGCTAAGATAGCGGAAGGGTTTAATCAATAATTGTAAAATGACAGTAACTGGTACTTTTTTTCCCCGTAGAAATAATCTTTTCAATGAGGGTTTAGTTGCTGTGCATGTTCTGTTCAACGCCAATGAACTATACCATATGAGACCACAGACTTGTTTGGATAGACAGGATTTGGACTGGATATTCACATATAAAGGGCGAAACCTGTACGTTTACCGTAAGTTAGGGTACGTATTTTCTGCGTCGGGCAGAAATGTAGAAACTGTAAAATAATACTTTTTCTTTTTTTAAAACAATCTGTGTTATTTTGCCAATGGACTAGCCTGTTTTTTCGTTGCATTGCGCATTCCAGTTTGCTTCATGTACGCAAGAGAAAAGTCGTCACAAGAGGTTGTACCAACATGTTTGAAAACTGGAAATTTTCAATAATCTTTGTATAATTGTAATAATGTATGCTTTTGATTGCAAGTATTTTGATTTTTTTTTAAACTTCAGAATGCTAGTGTTCCTGTGATTAATTACGTGTAAAAAAAAAAAAGCAACAGCAATGAAGGAAATTTGATGACATTTTGCAAAGAAATGTTTTGTTGAAAAATTGACATGTATGGACAAAAATTGGATGGGAAGAGAACTTTTTAAAGGAAACCAACCAAAACGACGAGTGAGGGTCTTGTTTATTATTAAAAAAATTGCTGGTTCATTAGTACATATTGTTGTAAATTCAAATGATTCCAAAATACACACTAATTCATAATTCACTGATTTCATTTTCAAACGGTGGAGAATATATTACTCTGAAAATATGGCAGCAGAGACAGGATTGTATTTTTTCTTTTCCTTGTTTGGACCTTCAAAATAATTGACTTTCTGCTGCATTACTGTGTCACACACACCTGCACACTCTACTGACCTGCCTAATACGCCAACTTGACACTACTTCAGATGCCACCGGTCACAACGCCACACTGTGTCAGGTGGGCAATTTTGTTTTGCTTTTTTAGTTTTAACGACGTTGTGCTACTGAACCGCATGTGGCGGTGTATGTTCCCCTTGTAGCATCTTGACTTTTTAATTTTTTCCCGGGGCACACTCAGGCCTAGATCTCAAGCTGTATAGTATTTGGGGCTGTGTGCTTTTTCCCTTGCATGTGGCTTTAACCACTTCCCGCCGGGGACTCCGGGATTGGAGACGTATGGTTTATATGAGTGGCCGGGGTCAAAGACAAAGGAAACAGAGCCCTGTAACAAAAGACCTTACTCCGAACAAAAGACCAGGCTGCTGGGCATGACCGACATTTTTCACTCTCAAAAGTGGTGATAATCCAGCCTTGTTTTGAAACCGTATACCAGGGTTTGGGGCATTGAGAGCGAGTGGATTACCACTGGGGACAAAAGCGCTCCACCATCGCAGCGATGAGCCACACAGTACCGCTGCACGCTAATCTGGCCCCTATTGAAAAGAGGTCAGCAGTGCACTGAGCCAGGTTCGTGAACAAAAGACAACTGTGTAACACCGCACAATCTGGGCTCTTTTTACAAGGCTGCGGGCCTGGCTGAAATACTCAGACGTCAGTAAAGGTCACCTGTCAACTTGGAGTAGTGCCTAAAGATTACTTCGTGCGTTAAATGAAATGATGAATTTTTGAAGGATTTTGAAAACGGAAAAAATGATAGTCATGCCGGCCTAGCATCATCAACATTGAAAAATGCCCCGGCTTGAAGTGGTTAACACTACATATCATTGACATCATTGCTATTAATATACACACCAAAGCACACAGACTGATAGTCTATCCCCAACCTGCAACATTTTGAAAAAAAAAATATACCAGTGACTACAACCCACTTGCCTTATGGACCTCTCATCTTGCCAGAAGTCTATCTTTGAAATCTTCATCTCCATCATCATTTCAAATTCATCGCTGGCACCTTCTGCAATCCACGCCACGAAACAAAATGACCGAACTTCATCTCTGAAACTCAGCTAAGTACAAACAACCAAGGATTTCAGTAAAAGGTCCAATGGCGCCCTCCCTAGATGAGCACAAACTCTCATGACAAACAGAAAAACAGTTTCACTGCTGCACAGAAAATTGAAAGAAAAAGCAAAACAGAACAAAAATTAGTTGTCCTCCAACCATCTTAGTATAAAAAACTAAAACATGTGATTAACAGAAGTGCACTTGTACGCTATTCGGTAGAAAAAAAAAATATTACTGACTTTACTAAACCATGGAAATCTGACATCCTTGTGTATTTATTAATTTAAAAATGAAAAATTGAATGAAAATAACGTGTTTATTTCAAGCATAAGTATCAAAAATGTTCAATCTTGAAATGTAAAAAAAGTTGTATAATTTGGCATTATTTCATTTTTCTAACTTCAGAGTCTGAGTAGATTTGGGGCATTTATACACGTATTTGTTTGCGTATATTACACTTATTGCAGCTTCTCATTTCGTTCCTCATTTGGGGGCAAATTTGGAGGCGGGTAGGATCCTTTTCTGTTTGACACACTCCCAGATCCAGGCGGGTGTGACCCCAATCTTTCCAGGCGGGGTAGCTTCTTTTTCCTGGGGGGGGGGAAGAATTCAAAATGAATGACCGAATGGAAAAGTGGTCAGCACAAATTTGTCTAGCTGCACTTTGAATGTCTGTGCTAAAATATTAAATTGAAATTCTATTCAGTTATTTTACTCAAATTCCTGACGCATTTTTGCTTGGAACACTGCTGAATTATTTGCATTTCTTCTCTGTGCACAAAACCAATGACACATTCTTTCTACTTCAACTTTCAAGGGGCATTAAGCCTCAAGTAACAGTGGCTGGGCTCTACCTTCCCCAATCCTACAGAATCTTCCAAAATCCTTGTGGATTTGGTGGAAAATGGGAGAGTTGGGATAAGTCGATATATAATCCTTCAAACATGAAAGCTTTAACAACACCACATGTATTTCCATACCTCTGCGTTTACATCCACCACAAAATGCGTCGCGTTGGCCTTGTTGAAATCGGTCAGCACGTCGCCGTCGTATGCAACCACGTAGCGCTTGAGTTTGTAGTAGTCAGCAATAGTCTTGGGCAAGTAAACGGACAAACCCGAGAAGATGTTGGCCAGTCCCTAGGTAGAACAGAATATAGGATTGGTTGAGAGAAAGACGCACTCACATTTTAAGTTATTTGTAAGAATTCTTTAGATAATGTCAACAACACCACAGTTAAGGGTACACCTCAGAAAGTCCATAAAAGTTCATAAAAAGTTCAATTTCCCCCCTTTCAAAAAATTGCAGTCCCTGAACACTTGGTTCTTGATCTGTTCTTGAGCAAACAAGTGCAGCTTCCAAGAAACGAATGAGAAGGGCGTCACCAACTTAACATTGTCAATTCAGAAAATTCAGGCACAAGTGAACCAAAGAAAGAACAGATCTCCAGACGTGTGAGGATGAGTGTGTGTCAATACTGCACCGATGAAATCAGGCCGACTCTGTGTAGAATTCGACATGACTTCTGGGTTGTACCAACCTTGGCAGGACTGTGCATGCTCGGTTTTACTGTGCTCGTAGGAGCAATAGAGGCAGGCTTGGAAGGACTGGCTGCTTGGGTCTGCATGGATAAATAAAAAAAAAAAAATCCAAGCATGACTTCTTGTCATGACTCCAGTGCCTTCAAGAATAGACCAATCCATTAAGCCCTGCCCCATCCTGTTCTGACCAATCAAAGCTGTGATTCATGTCGACATATGGGCGGGGCTTACTTGATAAGTATATTCTTATTTATCAGTTGTACGGGGGGCACTGCACACTTGAATGATGGTTTCATCTCCAGAAAGAAGTCGAATCTGTAAAATGTGAGCCACCATCCTAAAACTGTCTAGAGTAATATTGATGTCTGAAAATTTGTTTACCCTTTCGTTATTTTTCACACCTGAAAGTGATTCGAAAGTATTGACGTAGCAGAAAGGTTTGGTAGGTGTAGACTATGAAAGTTGAGGAGTGTTTATTGCTCAAGTGTACATGACTCGTAATTCTTCAGCCTCGTTTTTCAGAATGCTGGGCTATAAAATATGACCAGAAAGCATCGAGGAAAGCTGGGTGCTGATGACAGCCGGGGACTAACCTTGCTAGGGCTGACAGTCTTGCTCGGCGATCCATTGGAACCTGCAGGGTGGCTGTATTTGGTTTTGTGCCGGGGATTCGTCTGGTAACACTGGGCTCCATACTTGCAAGCCGGCTTACCCTGCACACAGAAAATACAAAATCCTCAAGGACATTCTAGAACAAAGTACACTGGACAGCAAAAGAAACTTGCCACTTCTGTCAAAGGCCACACATCAAAATTCACCGCATAGAGATAAACAATTTTTGTACACAGGTATGCTGCAATACCCCTTACTAATCGCATGCCCCAAAACAAGCGATTATCTTTATAACAAAGACGAAATTGACATGCACAGCAACTTGGTTACTGAATCAAAAGTCACAGAATGTAACAGAATGAGCCTTAAGTTTTATGCAGTGGCAAGTTTCTTTTGCTGTCTAGTGTATGTGACATCATGCCATCAAGCATCTTCATCACCTGTGAGGCAGCACACAGCTGTGCAGATGACATCGCATCTGCATGCTAATGTTCTTGAATGACCCGTGATGTGGGGCTTCTTTTTGAGCATGGGGAGTTGGGAGACCACATTTGCTCTCTGCATCTTGACTGCTCTCTGATGAAGCGGGTGTATGGAGTCAAAAAGTCTACTTAGCCTGAAAACACCTACTTGTGCCTATTCACAAGAACCAATGAAAGATCAGTGCCTGCACGTTGGTTTGGTCAGGTGTACAGTGCCAATTGCGGACATCCTACATTTTCAACAGAATGTGCACAAAATAGGACATTGATACCAAACCTAGGCAGACAGACAAGAATGTGTGTCTTACCTTGGCACTACTTGTTCCATCCCCGTTGTCTATCTTCATCTTCTTGGCAGGGCTAGGTTTTCTCTCTTCATCTACTTCCTCGTCTGTGTCACCCTCGTAATCTTCATCCTCCTCCACATCGGAGGCAGGCTTGGACCTCTTGTGCATCTGGGCAGATATCTTGGCGGGCGAAGCCGTCTTCTTCGAGATCAGGTCTGGGATATCGCTGGTCTCCTTGGACTTCTTAGAAAGCGCCTAGTATCAGAGATCAACCAAATGAAAGCAATCACAAAAGCCTCTCTGAATACTCTGAGGCAATTTTTATAACATGGGACTCGGGGTGTGTTCTCGAGCAAGCCACGTAATCTTTAAAATAAGAAATATGTTTTATGAGTAAAACCTTTGCTGTATTAGACTATGCTGTATTCAGTTCTGTGTCAAGTACACGACAACTAGAAATAAAATGGTATGCGAATGGAAACCCACAGACTGCTATAAGACGGGGACCTATTGCGGTTTGGCTAGTTATTAGGCTGACCTTTAACCTCTCCAGGTTGTTGGCGGTCTTCCAATCTTTGTCGTCCCTGAATCGGCTCACTCGGGGGAAGCGGATGGAGATCCCCCCCGCGGTGTGGTTATCGGACTGCGTAAACTCTGCCCCCATGATCTCCCACACTGGGGCTTTCTGTAAAAAAAAAAAAGGCAGGGCTGATTGCCAAGAATGTACGCACAGCAAAGCTACTTCTGAGATTAGGGTGTTCAAATCAAGTGGCTGTGGCTGTGGCTGGTGGTCACATACATGTCCATGGGAAGTGGCTGCTGCAGCTAGCCAGTAACAATGGCTAGCCGCATTGCTAGCCGCATGTATCATTTCAAGCCCAAGCTGCATCTGCGTCTATTAAAGGGTGGCAGAAGCCAAGGTGGTTGCTTCATAGAGAAATGTGTCTGTGTAATGTCAAGGCAACTGACTCCATTAAATAACTGTAGATGGCATGTGGCCAGACAGAACAAACTATCAGGTTTACTCAGAATGTGCACGAAAAAAATTCAACCGAATGTGCACAAAAGTTTTGGAATGGTGCACAAGTTTTCTTCAGAATCACGTGACCTCACCTTGGGGTCTTTGACCACAAAGTCCGGCACCAGCCCCCGGCTGACGTGTAGCCAGCTGGGCACCTTGGCAGAGTCCTTGCTGATCTTGTCCACAGCTAAATCACGGTTGAGCTGGTTCAGGGTCTGGTCGTCAAGCCCCGTACACTTGGTGACCGTCAAGAAGCGGTCTGTGGCCGGGTCGTGGACGCCCATCAGGAAGGTTGACATGATGCCACCTTGGACAAAGAGGGAGGGAAGATGGAGATTGTTTCATGAGAATACTTGGTCCTGGTGCAAGTCACTGCAGTAGGTTGGCACGACACTGAACATTTAGCTACAATGCGGACTGTGATGTTTTCATGAAGATGCTGCTCATGATGATAAAAGGTTGAGGCAACACTATGCTAAACATTCCATTACATCAACCCTCCCCTTTGGTTCCAGAAATTTATGTTTACAAGAGCAAAGCACATTGAAGTTCTGGCCCTTCCAATGATAAATCACAGAATTACAAAATACTCATGAGGGTCAGTGAGTGCTTGGCACCAAGACTGTGGCTCAGAAATGATTCATTATTAAAGGATTGATCCAGACATGGAAATGAAATCATACCTTTGCTGCCTGTTCCGTAGTACGCTCCGAGGACAATGAGATCAGCTGTGTCAGCCATGGCTCCCTCGGCAAGGTAATCCTTCTTCACTTTTAGCCAATGTCTCTTGCCGGGCTCATAGACACTCTAAAGCAAAGAATCCACACGACAGTGTAATTCGACAACCAGAACTGGAAGCCCGTGGACAAGTGGCACAACGCTCATGGACAGGTGGCACAATGCGCGTGGACGGGTGGCACAACGCTCGTAGACAGGTAGCACAACGCTCGTGGATAGGTGGCACAATGCTCGTGGACAGGTGGCACAACGCTCATGGACAGGTGGCACAATGCGCGTGGACGGGTGGCACAACGCTCGTAGACAGGTGGCACAACGCTCGTGGATAGGTGGTACAATGCTCGTGGACAGGTGGCACAATGCTCATGGATAGGTGGCACAATGCTCGTGGACAGGTGGCATAACGCTTGTGGACAGGTGGTACGCGCCCATTACATGCCTCTCTGAGGGGGTTATGATTTGCCAAATGCACATGCGCGTCAACCTGAAGAATGTGCATGTGAGTGCGATGCCACCGCAGTTATGCCGTCTACTGGGATTAGTTAGTCTACAATATAAAGACTCTCACTTTGCAAGTTTCCCAACTAGTATATTTAGTACACAATGAGCCAGCCTGCTCCTACCCAATTAAGGAAGTCCACAAACCAACTGACCAAGTATGAATATTCAATCCACAAGTATAACTGACCTCAGCAATTAACCAGCCCCAGTAGGAATACGAAGGCACCAAGTGCAATCATTCAATCCCGCAACCAAATTGCCCCAAGTTTGAATCAGATGAGCATTCGTCCCATCTGCCCAAATAGGAACATGAAATGGACTGACCATTTTGTCTTTGAGCACCAAGCCTTCCAGTCCCTCACGGATGACGCTCATGATCAAGCTGGACAGGTCACTGGCCACCTGAAATGGATTAAAAAAACCAACCAAAGATGGAAAATCAGTAACTTTGGTACACATCAACCCCTCCCCCCATACATGTAAGCATTATTACATCATCTCGCAAGAACTCCAAGCAGACGGAAGCTTGGGATTACACAAAAGATGGGCTTAAGTTAAAAAATGAACAGGGCAGGTGAATCTATGTCAATACAGCAGTTATGTCCCTGAGCATTGCAGTTCAACACAATATACGAGTACAGTTTCAACACCAGCAGAAAATTGGAACAGTCGGAAGCAGCAGCGCTTGGGGTTGGCAAAAATGGCCACTGAAAATGATTACAAGACTGGGCAATGATGGAATTTAAATACGTCCCCCCATGGGATTTCCAGAAGGCAAACTCACTGAGATGTCTTTGGACTCAGACAGCATGATCCTGTTCTTGACTGGGGTCAAGTTCTGCTCCAAGATCTTCCTCCTCTCCTTCATTGGCCTGAAAAAAATGAAAGCAGTTTGTAGGATATGGGATGCAAGTTGAATTTTTCAGTTGAATGTGCACAAAAACGAATATACCGGGGACGGAACGAATATGGCTATTCTCTCTAAAGTCCATGATGCAGACTGAGGTCTGAGGTCTATTGTCTGCACACCTATGCTACATGTAGATCTAGCTCTAGACAACAGATTTGAATGCAGCCTGAGTGGCTGTTCCGTCCCGGGTATATTTGTTTTTGTGCACATTCAATTGAAAAATACTGCCTCTAGCAACTTGCCATTGAAGCCTGTGTAAATGTTAGCCACAGCCAGCTGATTTGGGCACTGCCTGACTTCATGTACACCTAGTAGTACGGGTGATTCACAATAGTGCGCCACCAAGAGTTTGCAATGTGTTGACCAATCACAATGCGAGAAATCTATTGACCATTTCCAAACGAGCACTGGGTCAACTTATTTTGCACATTGTGATTGGCCATCACGTTGCAAACTCTTGGTGGCGCACTATTGTGAAACAGCCGTATTGACACCACACATATAAGTACGTATGATTTTAAGTTGTTATGCCAGAGCTCATATGATAAATGCAGATCCTTTAAAAGATTCATGCACAAGTCTGTCGGTGTTGTAGTTAAGACCTCTCTTAGACCATCACATGACCACCACATGACCATCATAAAACCTGCAGTCTAAATTCAAGCTACAAGCTACTCAAATGAACTGCAGCAAAAGCATTCAGAGTCCTCTGTTCAGGCATGATATTTGACCCTTGAACAAAATTAGGGAATTTTTTCGGAGCGTAAACGTTGCCACCAAAGTGTTGCATCTACATGCTGGCCGTGCCGAAGTAAAACGGGGAAAATGTTCCAGTAGGCTAACTGCAGTGTTTTATAAATCAGAGTTGGAACTTTTTCCCAACCCCCCCTCCCAGAAGTCAGAAATCCAATTTAAATCGGATGAATATCATGGCTGTCTGTTACTGGTCACCCTGTTACTTGTGACTGGTCTTGTTAATGATTTTATGATGGGCTCCACTACAATATTGAAGTTTTCACTGAAAAATGTTTCTTCAAACAGGCAAAGAGCAACATCACAGCACTTTGCACGAAAAACTTTTCTCCCCCGAACAGTTTTTACCATCGGTTCTTCTCAGAACAACACACTCATAAAAGAGATTTTTCATTGTACATGGTGCAACCGCAAGCCTAACCCAATTTTACAGTACTTCCACCATGCATAGCTTCAATTCTTATCCCAAACTGTTGGGTATTGATTTTGTCTGGAGATGAGCATTTTCTTGTGGTCTCTACATGCTTGATGGCCTTATCTCTGGAGTGTTTGGATAACAATTTTGAAAGCCGACAAGCAGTTACAGGAAAGATGTTCTGTGAAAATGTTCAGGGGAGCGCACCTGTCCATCAGGTTTTCCCCGTTGAAGTGGAGACAGTCAAAGATGAAGAGGCAGACGTTGGCGTCGCTGAATGCGTTCTTCTTGTGTATGCCCAGGGTGCCGAAGGGCAGGATCTTGCCAGTTTTGTCCACCATTAGGATCTGGGTCAGAGAGACACGAGAGATGGGTCATTCCTTCAACCTTGGATTCCTTTTCTGCCTTTGGCTTCTGGCTACAAATAGGTTACCAGGTCCTTGAGGGGTGATAAGGCTCAATATAAATCAATGATTTTAAAAAAGAAACACAACATAGCGTGCAACAAGGAGCCAACAATGGAGGTATTCTCATTTGGGAATAACATTAATAGGGCTAAAAATGATCAGTGCCCAGTGGTCGAGCCAATGCGGAAGATGGGGCCCAACTTGAAGAGGCCATGTAAATTGGTGATATGGTGACAACCTGCAAGTGTGACTGCCGTTCAAAATGATGGCCTGTACATTTACAGTGCTAGTGAAACTTGAAGTGAGGTTGACGTTAGGGGAACACCTGCTGTGAAATTCACCCAAACTGAAATGTGTTCACCCCTTGCAAATTTGCAAATGACAGTTTTTTGACTAGACATCACACTTTGCGGGCTGTGCGAACTGCAGGCTTGTAATGTTTGTTTTTTGGAGCACGCAAATTACCTCGCTGTCCAGTATGATGCTGTTGCCGTGAGGGCAGGCCTTAGGCAGGTAGTCCTTGATGTGGACCACCTTGTGGGGCAGCACGGGCTTCAGGCTTCGGCTGAAGTACTGGAAGGTGTCGCCCTGCTTGTGAATCTGCACCCGCTCCCCGTCGTACTTGATCTCAGCGAACATGCCGTTGGGGCACTTGCGCATGGCCATATCCACCGACTTGCAGGCTTCGGCCTGGTCAGCAGAGGAAGGAAATGAGGACAGACACAAATGCAACGACAATTCCGGCACATTTTTGTCCACGAATCAATGTTACATGGACGTTTTCTCCCTTTGGAACTGCATTCCTCATGAATATGGAGATTCACGTGAACATAAAAACCAAGAAGACACCAAGATACAGTACACTGCAAACTGAATGTTGACACTGTGAATTTGGATGGGAACAAAATGTAAAAAGAATTCCCTTTCATATTCACACTCAAATAAAATGATTTCCTGCTTGTGGGAAAATCAGTGAAAATCTCTTCACACCCTTGTGAAACTCTTTTCCCACTTTTGGAAAAGTTTTCACACCTTGAGATATGAAAATGAATACCCTTAGAAGGCAACAAAATGTGAAAAGATTTTCCCATTCAAAAGCTATTTTCAATTCCAATCGATTAAAATTACAAAACAAATACTGTAACTTAGGTTAACTGAAACGTAAACAGTGCATCTCCAAGAGCTGAAGTAACAGAATTCATTGCACCAACGTACTTACCAGCATGGGGAGTACTGGTGTCATCAGCGTCGCGCGCACGCTCAGTTTCTTGCTCATGCCGGGCCGGCCATCTGCTGCTTCTTTGTTCTTGTTGACCCGGTCGACAACGTCCCGCAGGTTGCGCGAGGCCTGGAATGCTTCGTACGCATTGGGGTCCAGGGCTTCCAGACTGGGGAACAGATGTCACAGACATGTAGGATATAAAATAAGGTAAAAATGGGCTTTATGGGTGAAAAGAGGAACACAATTTTTTCTGAGCAATGTGATCTCCTCTGTGGCAACACACAGTGGCGTCGGGGGGGGGGCATGTGCCCCCACAAAGTCCCGTGCCCCCACAAAGTCCCGTGCCCCCTCCCCCAGGTGCCCCTCCACTGAAAAAAAAAGAATGAATGGATATTGAACAAGGCTAACAAAAACTTACCCGGTAACACCACACCACTGAAAGTTGGTGCCCCAAATAAGATGCTGGTGTCCTCTTTGAGCCCCCCCCCTCCCCGTGAAATCCTAGCTACACCACTTGCAACACACTGCAAGCATGGGCAACTGTGGTTTTAGTATGGAGAATTCAAGTTGTTACCTTCACATGAATTTAAAGAACTCAGTGTACCAGATTTGGGTCAAAATTAACTCGCAAAAGGCTTATTGATACAATTGTGATCAGAGTCCAAGGTAATGTATATCTTAAAAAGACCATTTTTTATAGTAATTTTGCCTTCCAGTTTGTATCAAGCTGTTTGATAACCGGCGGGTGGAAATGAGCATTTACATGGTGGTGAAAAAAGTTGAGGGCTCTTTTGATTTTACGATGTGTAAGATTCTTTAACAGGCCTTTCCGCTAAAAGTGGCTCTCTAACCCATTCTTAAGGTTGGGTCACTGACAAAACAAATTCACCCCTGGCTAAGAAAAATTATTACACCTACTGTATGTACACGTACCCAGTATTAGGGCTGTGCCGAATATCCGAATAACTGAATATTTGAATGATTGCGGAATCGTTGAATATTATTTTCTGAATTTGAATGTTCAAATACAAAATTCATGAAAAGGGAAAATTTTCTTTCGTTCCAAATGAGAAAAAATTGCATTATGGAGGCTGTTTTCAAGCAGATTCAAATGAAAAGCGACAGAAATCTTACGACTCAAAAAAAAAATAAAAAAGAATAGAAATTTTCAACAGGGCAAGAAGTCTTCTTCATCTTTTAAATCTTGAATCATGGCAGGAGATACTCCTAGATGTGAGAGCCTACCGATATTTTATTGATAATAATGCACAATTGTGCACGTTATTGCAACTGATTTTGAATATCAACAATCTGCTGGTCGATACAACCGAATACTTGGACATTCGATCAAATTGAAGGTAGAATATTCAAATGGTGAATTACTGAAATTGACTCAGCTTTATTTAGTATCCCTAACAGTCTCAAAACCTCTGATTTCAATGTGATTTTTACATACATGTACATGTACACCCTAGGGGGTTAGGGTTTTATGTTATACACGTAGCAAGGCATGCGACTAGGAATTCAGGGGATAAAGATGAGGAAATTCACAACGGCATAAGAGTTTGTCCAGTGTCTTTCAGTTTGTGACGGAATACGCGGCAAGTACAAAATGGAAGAAACATGGTACATGTAAGTTAACCTGAGGAAACGCTGCATGCCTGAATAATAATGCAACCTTTGAAAATTGAGGAAATCGTCAACAATGAAAACCCTACAGTATCTTCTTAAAGTTCAGTCCATAAGCATAAAGGCTTTTCCGGAGATCGCGCTTGAACGGCACGCTTCCCAAGTGCTGGTGCATGTATGCACAGTGCAAGTGTGTGAGGCTGCACCCAGTCCTTCGTTTCAGCTTGTAATGAAATACTCATCAAGGTCAACACCGAGTGCTGCGTTAAAAGGTTTGCTCTGCACAATTAATGCCTCGTGTCTGACACACTGCCCATGTAACAACACCATCAGTGCCGGAAATATAAGTCTAATAAAATTACCTCTACTCCACGAAAAATGGTCATCAGGTTTTTGGGCTGAGAGTAATGAAATATCCAAAAGCCAGACTGCTTATCTGGTTCCCAACTTCTTAACATCTGAGTTACTTATGATTGTGCATGCCCAGTGGTGTAGTCTGTGTGCAAAATTGGAGCGCTCTGGTGAAGCTCCAAAAGCATGATTTGGCCACAAAACAAACTTCAAATCATCAGCTACTGTACAGTAATGTGTTTGACTCAAGGCACTAAGCAGGATCAACAGAATTTGTTGATCATCAAAGGAGGTATATGGATAAGTGGTTGGGGTTTGTGCATGTACAGGTAGTTTCCAGATCACTGGGTCAGGGGTTTGAATCCAGCGGCTGGGCACATGTTGTGACCCTAGGCAAGTCACTTTACCCCAGCTTGCCCCTCTCAACCACGGGTATGAACGGTTACCTGTGAGGGCAGAGCCGTGTTTGATTAGCGGTTTGTATCTGAAACAGCAGCATCAGTGTGTATACTCTCCAGGGAGCTGAGATGGTTTGAGGGAGGTTTATGGGCTCGCGGTTAGAAGGGATAATGATGATGCAGCGCCTTGAGCCCCAGTGCTGGTTGGGATGTCCTCTTTACGTTCATTGCCAATTTTGTTATGACGGGATAGCGTTGCTGTGGAACTCACATGTGCTTCGCCCCGGAGTTGATGCGCAGGTCGTGCTTGATGAGACGCACCACCATCTTGAGATCGTTGGCCGTGCAGCGTTTGGCGATGCCGGTCAGGTGGCGCTGTTGGTCGGTCTCTTTGGTGAGTGCCGCCATGCCTTCAAGAAAATCATCCACCTGCATGGGAAAGCGGCCTCCCCAAAAAGGGGATTCAAATGAGATCAAACAGGGATCAATGGAGGATACAATGGGATCAAAATGGAATCGTTATTGATCTCACCAGGACCCAACTGGCAGCCGAATGAGATCAACACAGGATCTAAATGGGACCCAAAGTAAGGTCAAAATAGATCTGACTGGGGTCTAAAAGAGATCAACATAGGATCTACATGGGACCCAAAGTAAGGTCAAAATAGATCTGACTGGGGTCTAAAAGAGATCAACATAGGATCTACATGGGACCCAAAGTAAGGTCAAAATAGATCTGACTGGGGTCTAAAAGAGATCAACATAGGATCTACATGGGACATGTATGTAAATGGGTCCAAAAGGAGGTCCAAAAATGGGATCCAAACTGGAATCAAAGTGAGATCGCAGAGAACCAGACGAAAAGGAACGAGAATTGACATGGGATCTGGAAGAAGATCAGAGTGGGTTCAAAGTGAGATTACAGTTGGTCAAAGGGATGGAAATGAGGCCATAAGCAGATGAAACTGGGTATAAAAAGGGATCATAGAGGGATGACAGTGGATGGAAATGACATTGAAAGTGGAGGAACCCAAAATCAAACTGTGCCCCTATACCACTGTGTACAGGGGTGAGATTGAGCAATGATAAAAATAGCTCAAAACAGCTGAGAAAAGGCATAAAGAAGCTGAACTGTGAAAATCTCCTATACATTTGTACACGGCCGGTGAGAAAAAAGACCTGAAATCTAAAACAAAAAAGCTGAAATCAGCTCAAAAGCTGAGAAATCTCACCCCTGTGAGAACTTGGCAAGCTATTGCACGGTACTCTCATTTTCTTGACAATAAAATGGACATATCTGCAAAAATAACATCCTTGAGGTGGTTGATTTGTCAGCAAGGGCAAAAGACAGGAAGACGATCCAGTTTCTCAGCCTGAGCGAAATCTGAGAGCTGCCATAGAGCGGCCGAGAGGCCTCACGAATCATTTAGGGGTAACCAGAGAGACCCGTTTCAACAGCCCATCCTGGGATGGTCGAGGGCCTGGTAATTGGTTGATCCAGCTGAGGAACAGATGGGGGAAGAGGAGGTTGGAAAACTGCTCTTCTGACCAAGTGAGGAAGGAAAGCAGACACTCATGATGACACTTACATGTATCTGTTCCATTGTGTCAGGGGATGTGAGTTTGGGGACTGTGTTCCTCAGAGCTTTGCCTCTTTAAGTATCTGCATTTAATCTGTGCAGGTTGAATGAGGGCGCTATTGCAAGTATCCAGTCAGACGGGCTAGGACAGGGGGCGGGAACGGCCAGACCAGCGCTTCTGACTGAGATCAGAGAGACTGAGTCCCTGAAACTTGTGTGCTAGACACAAATACTTTGCACCATATGGTGAACGAGACAGGCATCAGCAAAAACACCACAGTCAAATTTATTGCATTTGTACTGCAGTGCTTCCATGTAAGATCCCAAGAGGGCGCTCTCCCAGTGTCAATGGCATAAGAGAAAGGCCGTTTTCTAATACTCAACTTCGTCTCCGTCTCAGGCTTCATCCCCGAAACCAATCCCCAATTGTCGGCCTGAACCATTTAAATCAAATTGGATTACTGTGAGTTTTGCTCTTGCATCTTATTTGATGTTTTGTGGCACTATTAGACTAATTAGTGCGCTTACAGCTTCAAAGTCAGGTCATAAAAGACAGTTGAAGCCTGAGATGGAGCTGAAGTTGAGTATTGAAAAACGGCCTAAGACATGCGCTGTTATCAATAACAATACTCGGCCAATTTCCTGTGCCCACTGGTGTACAAAATGTTCGGTCCAATTTCTTTCCCGACCTTCTGTGTCACATCTCCACTTAGGATAAATAATTTACATGTACCAGCACATGCAACTGTTCCAGAGACACACTAGGACCAGGCATGGACATTTTTACACTGTTGTAAATAAGTGCCACTGGTTTGCAGCTCAGCGGAGGACTTTTGGAGGCTTCAGGAGGGTATATTTAAGTAGCAAAAATGCCCCTGGAGGATGTAAGGGTTAATGAAACATTATTAGGTGCTTCTCTTTTACAACCAATACACGTGTGACTCATAAAGATACTATCCACCAAACTCAAGCAACGAGATTACCCTACAGTCACATGGTCTGTTAAAACAAAGAGAAATATTTGGGATGGTAAAGTGTGTCAAAACTGCCTGTGGTCTTCGAGATACTTCCTCAATATCAATTGCGGAGATAATACGATATCCCGGTTGTTTATGAAACACCAGATAATTTCTCTCTTGGCCGCGACTTCTTTTCGTAGGAGGAGACTCAAGGGCACAACCCGGGATATTTAATTTGAAAATGTGGGATGACGCACGTCCGGAGGGAGACTTGATTAGAGGTGAATGCTTGATGGATGGAAACGGCAAAATCGTTCAAGTTACGGGGAATTTTTGTTCTTTTTTTTTCTTGCCACGTGAAGGGTCCTCACGGCCGTGTGACGCAGCCGGTCCATCACCATGTTGAAAGAGAAATTGTGATAGCCCTATTTTATGAGAATGTTAAATATGCTGTTGCAGACCGCTGTGGGAGATTTCCACGGGAACGAGATTAAAGGGGTGGAAAATTGGATTAGAGGTGCCCACTGACGTTGACATGCGATGGGCAAAATTCTAAATAATGGGATCAACTGTGTTGCTGAGTGAAACACTTTGCACAGGACACCGACTAATTTGTGCTAACAGGTTAGGGTCTTTCAAGCCAATAACAGCTAATATCATCGCACCTGTATGAATTACGAAAGTACCTTACAAGAAAGACCAGGGGACGAGGTAAAAATGAGCTAAGCTGTTTAAGGTTACTTGCAACTGAGTGCACTTGTAGGCCTGTGTAATACAAAAACTTGATTATCTGGACAATGCGGCGTCATCCTACAGGTGGAGACAAATTAAATTTACCATTTCCATTGCATTTAAAAAGTCAAGGTCAGACCCAACCATTTAACAACAATTTGCACGTCCAAAGACACTCCTGCTGGGGTCTCGCAAGGAACATGACATGAAAGGAAATCGCAGTGGACCCCGGGCATGATGGTAGAGGGCGCTATTTGGTCTCTCCACTAGATAGATAGAGTCCTTACAATTCATTTCAGCATGTGCAACACGTACATGTACACACATGTATGCATACACAAATTCAATTTGGACAGTATTCAGTACAACAAAAACAGGAAGAAAATATGCCAAGGATGTACATGGTTGTAACTGCTCAAAACAAAAGGTTTGTCATGAAACCTAGATTTGGACGAATGCCAACTGTTGTCAAAGAAAATCCCAGCTTCTTTTCTAACTGTGCATGTATACACATGTACCTTCATCTTTTCCAATGCTGATTTTAGAATGACTCACATGTACATGTTGGAGCTTCTTATGTATGCACAAGTAAGTTGCTTCTGAAGAGAAAAGCGAGCTTATTTCAGTTCGTGAGAAATCACCACCACTGCTGGGCTCTAAACAATCAATTTGCCGAATGCTTCATACAATGAAATAGATTTTCAAAACTTCCAAAATGAAGAGATAAATTTACCTCATGTATGGAGAGAGTGCTTTTCTTTGCAGGAGGGAATACGGCACTTTCTGAGAAGAATTTCTGAACAGTCTCAGCGACGTCACCTTGGTCAAGATCTGTCACCATCTCCTCCAAATTGGCACCAAAGATCTTTTTAAGCAGTGGTACAAAAATAAGAAATGAGAACTACTACATGTGTACACGTACAGTATAACGCGTAACTTGCAAACAGGACTGTGTAAGGTACCATACTGCAAAGCCGAAAATAACATGGTGGCAATAGAATAAATTTCTTTTTCTCTTTCTACTGATGGAGAAGCATTGTGGTGTTCATCTTACCTGACTGAACACCTTGACCAATTGCTTGCTGTTGATGTTGTACACCCGCTTGACCACGCCCGGCAACAGAAGCTTCAACAGCAGATACGTGTCGCCCTGGAAACCATCTGCAATGACAGCATTATATGCCACACATCTCATCAAAACTGTGCACCGGGATATGCCGCAACAAGTCAACATTGAGCATTTCCACCATTTCCTGAGCCCCAGACACTATCTGTGACCATCCTGTAACATCTGCATTTTTTCAACCAAAACTTGACTGCAGCATCTCACAGAAAAATCATTTAACCGTGATGAATATTCAGTATTTACACTGGTGGTTGGTCTTTACATGAACAATATTCAGGTACATGTAAAATTGACGTTTGTGCCACCCCGCACTAAAAAAAATGGATAATGCGGTCCAACATGCATGAGCATTATAGGAAGGACTTGTGAAGTATTTGATGTGAAAACAAAGATGAGAGATCTCATGGTTTCAGAGGAAAAGTCCAAGGGAAGGAGTTTTAAGGCAATCGATGCCTTTTTCTGACCAAGGCAAAAACAGTCAGTCTGCTCACACTGTACAAGAGTTCCTTCTAGCTACTAATATATGTAACACGCCATGACGTGCATTTCTGGTGACAATTCTCAGGTGAAAATGTTCTGCTTTGCGAATACACCTCTTTTCTGTTGAGAAATCTAATATTCTCCATGTCCCCGTACGTATGCACAATATTCTGCTTAGCGAGTACACGTCTTCTGCTCAGTGCGTATACAGGTGCATGTACAGGTATATGTCTTTTCTGTTGGGGAAGTTAATGGCTGCTGGCTCACCTCCAGACGATCCCTTCTTGATGAAGGTCTCGACTTCCCTCGTCTTGGCCAGGTAGGCCGACTGGTCCGCAATGCGGGCGCAGAGCTTACGGAATTCACGGAAGGAGTTGTCCGAGTGACTGATATCTGTGGTGGCAGACGAAACTGATGTGCTCGTGCTCGTTGATGGAAGATCTGAGTTGCTGGCTAGAAAGCGGTACCAATACGTTCAGGTCAAAAATGGCATTGGGGTGGGAGGCGAGCTGGGAGGGAGGTGAAGTTCAGTTCCAGGTCAAACTTTATCCCTCTTTATTTTGACTTTAATCCCCTCAAGATCTTTGCAAGAAGCCTTCATGAATCCCTTCAAATGTATTACTGAACAGGAAACCAGTGACAGTCTATGTACTGTAACTTTCAAAGGGCAAAGCCCCATTTCAAATGCTTTTCTGCCACCACATCTGTTCTCCAACAGGGCAATGAAAGATATGCAACGTACCGGTACATAAAAGTAAAGACATTTGCGTACATCTACATAATGTAGTTTTGTATTATAACAGATATACTGGTATAAATACCTTGTACTGGTACGTACATGTACATGTATCCGGTACCGCACCAGTAGGCCAATAAACAGTAGAATTACAGCATCAGAGTAAACTTGCAGGTCAAAGCACTTCAGGTGTACATGTACATGTATACGTACATGTATGTACATGTAAATCAATGAGCTACAATGTACATGTACATTATGTACATGTAACGTACGTACCAGAACATGTACATGTACATATTGGTATGCACTGAACTATGCACCATACAATGTACAGTAGATGAACAATGTCAAACATGTCCCGTCAAAGGAATATTAAGTTTTCCAGGGTTCATTTCCATGTAAATGCATATCTTTCCCCTAACTTGATTAAGTGCAATGACCTAATGATTTGCAATTGACGTGCAGTGGCTTGTAACTGACATGTGATGACATGTGGTGCCAGTGATTAATGTGTGATGATGACTTGACTACATACAGGTATGCTAAAAGTAAACTTGAGGCTAGCTTCCATTGTGGTAATGAATGCCGACGGCATGCAAGATATCAAGACGCAGACATTAATGGAAGAGATGTTGTATAACGTCATTCCACCAACTAAACGACATCAAAACTTGGAAAATGTTTGCATGAAATGCCGTTTTTACTGTGGGTGGTGACACTGCCTTTTAAAGCGAAGCTGATATTTTTATGGTCAGTCACAATGTACATACTTTGTTGACAATTGGGGCTTCATACCCGTATGGTAGTAATAGGGAGAAATAGGTAAAATGAGTGCCACTAGTGAGAGAGAGGCATTGCTGTGCGCCTGCCATGCATGCCAGCAGGAATGTTTGTATAGACTCACTCTCGGCGACTCAACGCAGACAGTAGGCAAAGTTGAATCAAGTTCAACTTTGCCGACTGCCGCCATCTCTGTTTGCGCCAGTCGTGATAAAGTGTCTCCAGATATTGTGTATTGTCGGGACCTGATCCACGATGCTCTCTGCATCTCTTTTCCTTGGCATACATGTAATCTACGCTTCATATGACATATATGCCAGTCTGCACACAGTTACAGGTGCAAGGCATTGGTACAGTGCAAAGTACAGTACATGTACAACATAGCAAGTACAGGTGAAATTCTCCAACATATCCTCAAGCTGGTCATTGCCACTATCTGAGGTGTATTTCCAACAAGCCAACTGACTCTCTACCAACACCCTGAAAAACTGGACATCCCTTCCAATTGCCAAGGAGTGGGCTACTCAATTTGCTCACATGCTGGCATCAATGACGATACAGTTTGAATGGGCCCGAAGGTTGTGACAGTGTTGACGTCCCCGGCAGGTGGAATGATAAAGTGAACCCCCTCGGTCCCATCAAGATGGACTGTGAACAGCTATCCCATTTGGACACATTCACAGTCTAACTGACATTTCCCCCCCCTCCCCTCTGGCCCTGATCGCTTTTGGTTTTCAGGTCTGATCGGCCACCTGTGCTATCCAGGCTTCTACGCCAGTGACGTTTAAATGAGGGGTTCATCAGTGTTCAATCTGACACTGTGACACTGTAGACATCTGTAATGGGTACTTTAGAGGCTGTCAAACCTGTACGTACATGCGACATCAGGCCCTGAAGAGATTGAGAGCAAATGCATGCATTTATGCATGGCAAACACATTGGTACAACAAACTGGTATCTACATGTACAATATTTGATGGTTCATGTAAACCACATGTATGAATTACATGTACATGTACATACTGGCACACCAATGTCCATGTATCAGTTACAATAGTTACTGGTGCATGTAACTACTGGTACATGTATATGTATGAACAATTTAAGAAGAGCTTTAATCGATGATTAAATGTTCATTATTTCCAAATGTTGGACCTAAATTATTCCATTGGAATCAAATAGTAACTCCTGAAATCCCCTTGTGGACAAATGAGCAAATTATTATGCCAAAAACAATGATCTGAATTAATTTCTCATGTTAATACCAGTAAGTTTAAAAGCAATCATTCAAGCTTTACAAAAACTGTGGTAAGACTAATTACCCAATTCATAATTTATAGCAACATATGCCACCTAAAATGAAGGTCTGTACATCCATAATTTATTGGCCAAGTTGCAGCACAACCCACTCAAACACACTGTGCATGTATTATAAAACGTACAGTATGCAAAACAAGGTTCAATGGATTCATTTATGCATGCAACATGTATACATCTGCATACATAGTGAGTTATTCATTTTTTTAGTGAATTGTTCATTTCATTTGAAACAAATGCTACCTGCCCTCTTTTGCTTTTGTAATTTAACCAGTTAGCACTTGTGCGAAGCCGCACACAAACCCAGTAAAAAACAATACAAAATATTCCTACAGCCTGTTTACATGTACATGTTGTATGCCATGTAATGGGAAGCAGAACTTTTTTGGCTTAAGAGGGAAGTATTACACTAAGCAAAAATCAATCAAGAACCAGTTGCACCTGCCGAGGCTATTTTTGTTCTCGAATGAGCAAATGTCCAAGGTGCATGGCTTTGTCAGGAAATTTGGCTTTGTCAGGAAATTGGCCTCCAGGGGTGCCAGAGCAGAGCAACTTACCAGAGGGTGTAGGGACTTTCTTGGAAGGGGAGACGACATGCCCGGAAGCGGACAGGGTAGCCTGAACAGTCTTCTTCTTTGACGGTGTCGCAACCTTGTTCTTGGTCTTCAGGGCGAGGTCTGTAAAGGAGAAACAATTCAATCCTTGAAGTTTACTTTCTATTACATTTACAGTGCTTCAAAATGCTGGTTTCCGGCATAACATTAATTTCCATGTACTAAATACACGTGTAAAGCACAGTATACAAATATCTCACTTCTCAAACACATGTACATGTGCATTTGCAGGGCACTTTCTTAATTATTTAGACTTTTGAGACAATTAGAATGTACATGTACGTACATAGTACAAGTGCAACTCTGACAGCCAAAACAGCAGGCATGTAAAAACACCAAGGACATATGTACAAATGTACATGTATGTATGTAGGCTCTGAAACATGCAAGGTACCGTGCACATACATGCACTGTACATGTACCAGTAGGCCGATACATTGCAAATGAAGCAGTAGAATCTTGTGATGATAAACGTACAGTATGTGACTGCATCTTTCAACATTTTCAGGTCCACTTTAAGATTTTTAGGACCAAAAGTGGATTGACAATTTGGTCCCTTTTAATCAAGACTCACATCATGACCCTCACCACATGCTGATGGCAATGAAGATACCGGTACGGGCGGGTTAGGATGGTGCAAAACCAACCGTTCATTTTATTGAAGTTATCCAGCAATATCTGGCAAGGCAATTTTTATTTTCAATATAAAACAACGTGATAACATCTCAGGATTCCTTTGGCACTGTTAATGTAATTCGCAGAAGTCGGGTGCAGTTCCTGTCAACTGATGTGATAAAGTTTGGCAAAACTGAGAGCGACCGTCTGTAAAAACCAGGAGGTACTGTGTGCATTTCACAAACATTTTCTTTTAGAGGGCTTCACAATTCACAAGATGTGAATTCCCCAAACCAGCATCTTAATACAAACTGGCTTACAAGCATCTTTTTTTATCATTCCGGCGGCTGTTATTCAGGGGGATCAGTCCCACCTCCATTTAGTCTAGCAGTGAAATGCAAAGTGATCTCTCTTTTCCTCCGCTGCATGTTACTAGGAGGTGCTTGGATGAATTCTGATGAGGCAATCAGCAGCTCGGGGAGAACCGTGCCAGTTGGACAAACGAAAGCAATAGGTGCCTTGATACTACATGTGCATACGTGTACCAGAGTCAACAAATGCCACGGGCAGACAGCACAACTAATCCTGGAAGAAAAGTTACTGAATCTGTCAGCGATCATGAACGGGTGTAAAGAAAGGGGAGAGAAAAGGGGCAGTTGTTAAAAAAAAGAGCAGGGAGTGGGTCATCGGTAACGACAAGGCTGACAGACTCGAGTGCTGGGCAAAGACGACAGGAGATGGCAACCGAGCAGCTCACGGCTCAGCCGAATCGATTCTTGAGGAGGGATTGCCATTTTGCCAATCGGTATCTCTCGTGGTGAGAGCCACTCGAGAGATCGCTCTTGGCTGTTCTGTTGCAGGAAGGCCCCGGGAAAGGAATAGGCTCATTTCCTGCATCATCGCTGCCAGAGCTTGGCTTGAGAATGCAGCGCAGCAGACCCCGCAAGGGGTCTCCTTGTAAAGCTGTACATTTGGGGAGGAAATCGACATTGTGGAAAACCAGCAATTGGTACATTTGTACACATGTACCCTATGTATTCACACTAACTTGACAAAAGCCTGAAATCCGATAAAAATCCAACAAAAATTGGAAAGGATGTATGTAAATTGCTTCATTTTACCTTAACTCCTGGAGCAGTTCTTCTAGAACCTTTCCTACTCAGTAAATACGGGTTACCAGTGAAAATGTCATGTAATAGAAGAGTGGAGTACAGATGTACATGTACACTATATGTATGTCCTTATACCGGTACTTCTTGCAACCGGTTCTCAGCACATCAGTACATGTACATAAAATATATCTTTTTAATAGCAGAAATGATGTACATGTACGGGTATTCTGCTGAACAGCAGCATTGGTATTTGGGTGATTCTATAAATTAGGGGTCCAATGTTTTTCATGTCCCTGTCACTTTTGACATACATTTTGTTATTCAGAACACATTCTCCAATTTCCGTGAATTTATGCAAATTACCTGCTAAACAAATAGCAATACGGTAGTATGAAATCAATTTCAGTAATATTTCCCTGTCAAATTACACAGGCCAGGAGTAACAGGGACACAAAAATGTCACACTTTTGAACCCCAAATTTTTAGAATTACCTATCTGACATTTAGTGGATTATAACCTAGCCAAACTGACTTGGAATAGTTATGATATGGATGCTCGTCATCCCCTGATCAGATTTCTTACGAAAGATCCACCACAGTAGGATTTTGGTGCCACTTTAAAACCATTTAACTGATGAAAGTACTGGTAAAGCTTATGTGAGGAACAATCCGACTGGTCGGAAATTATGACAATGGACATCTCCAAATGTCTGCCAATAAATAATGGGCAAATAAAGTGCATGACCAAAATGCGGGGCCTCCCAGGTCATTAAGGAACAACAAGATGTATCCACAAGGTCTGCCCCATCAGTGTGTGCTTTGTTCTTGAATGGTCAATGTTTTTTGAAATACATGTAGGCCCTACCGGTACCTGACTGGTTCCCTGCAAGGTTCCAAATATACATACCGGTATATGTATGGCACGTATACTGTACATACTGTCCGAGTAGTGCAGATCCACACACTGCCAATGTACATGTACATGCAGCTGGAGTTAATGCACTACATGTACATGTACATGTACATGTAACTTGATTACAATTTAATAAATCTCAAGCTCCAATTCTTGCTGGGATGCATTCTCAATCCCACCAAATCTTCTAACGGCCTCAACAGAGAAATTACATACATGTACCTCAGTCCACCCAAAACCCTCCAAAACCACTTGGGGGATTTGGGGAGATGTGGTAAGGTAAGCACGGTAAGGGTTTTATTACCCTGGCCTGACCCTCCTTTGGACAAAATTTCACAGAGAGGCCAAGCAGACAATCTTGCTTAGTAAGTTTATGTGGTTTAATAACGCAGTGCTACATGTAGATTTGGCAAGCAATAGTACACGTATAATAAGATTTGGGGCTAACAGCCCATTTAGCCATAAGCCAATTATTGTACATGTATGTTCTCAGCTTACCAGTATACCGTATGTACAGGCAGCAACTTTGTAGACTTAGGCAAAACAAAAAATTATGCTCATGGTTAAATCCCGATCAATCCGACACGCATTTTGATGATGCAACTTGTTTTGGTGGGGTGGGGACTTTAGGGAAAATTTGAAATTGGAAATAAGGCAAGAAAAAAAGTGTGTTTATTGTAGTTTGAATGTGGTGCAGATAGGTCAAGTGACTTATTCGGGCACGATATTGTTCAGTTTATTCCTGTTATTTGAAACAAATGCCAACCAACCTCTTTTGCTGACTGTAAATAACACTCAGCTACACACAGAATCAGTAAAAAAAGTGAAAAAAGAAACTCCTACAACCTGCCAGGTACATGTACTGGTAACCTGTTTTTCTGATGCCTAGAAATAAGTCACGTTTTTTGGGAGGCCTTACATATGTGAGAACTACATGTACATGTACCTATACAAGAGGGTTTGCATTTCGTGTTCTTTCAATGGTTCCTGGCCTTGTTAATTTTTAAAAGAACCATTACATACATGTACACATGTACAAAGTACCAGCTGCAAGAGGTCTGTATTGGGCCCTGATGCATGCAATTCAAGAAGGGCAGTTGCCATGGTTACCTGCAATCAGCTCCTTGATGGTCTTCTTGTCCTCTTCCTCCATCACGTCAAACCCTTCAAGATCCTCTGGGTCGTCAATCTTCTTGGTGGTGGGGCGGGCCCGCAGGAGAGCCTCAAACATGCACTTGACATGGTGGTACTGCTTCATATCACCGCCGTCCTCGGAGAATGGGTTGGTCACCAGCTTGGCGATGCGGGGCTCCTTCTTAGCGATGCCCTGCTTGCACTTCTTGCACTTGGAGGTGCCCAGTCGGGCATAGTCCACCGAGTACCGGTTGTCGGCCATCTTGCATCAAGAAGTTTTTCACTGGCCCCCTTGCTTGAAATGTTCCAGGGAGGAAGGGGTAGGGAGTTAGATCTTGACAAGTTTGGAGGTCACTCTGTCTGTTACCAAGCGGGAAATTGGAGAAAAGAAAAAATCAGGTGTTGGTATTTTTGGGGGGGTCAATTTTTACTCGTCTACAAAACTTTTTTATCTACACAATGTACTCGAAAAATAATGGAACATGTATAGTATACAAAAAATACATGTATGTACATGTACATGTATGTCTCTGGTAAGGTTTACTGGTAAGTTATATGTACACGTGTAACAGCAAGTGATTAAAAAGTACAAGCACAATACATGTACATGTACCGGGTACCCGTAGTCTTGCAATGTTGGACTTGTTTCATATTGTGTATTCATATTGTTTCCATTTGTGAGTATAATGAAAAACAAATACATCATCAAACATACATGTACATGTACTACAAAAGGCTGTTAACATGTACTGCCTGCAATGTGAATCTACAGGTACGGGTACCACACATGGGCATGTAACATTGCGGCTGGGAAAAAATCTTGTACCAGGTATCGTGCAGACAAAAACAGAAAAAGGCTGATACAAATCTACAAAACATTATGCCGTGCACTTTCTGCACTCTTAGTCGCCACATTGACATCGGTCATCAGAAGTACAATTCAAATCATGTTTTTTTTCCCGCAAATCTCTAATCTGTGCCGGGTGGATGCCACACCGGTGTCAACAAAGCCAACAGATGCCACCATGTAACAACAGTTTGCGACTGTCCCTTCCTGTGTCAGATGTCCGCGTCCCGCCGACCAGCGAGTGCTCAAATTTAATAACTGGCCAATTTAGCCGACACCAATCCGCCGGCCGACACTTTCGCATCGCTTCTGGCCCGTCGCATCCAATTCGGTCACTCTTCGTGTCAGGCCGATCTGTTAAGCCCCTCTTCTAGCTGTAAACCAACAAATTGATCATACCAATGCCAGATTTCCGGCCCGAAGCAGTAAAGGGGGATTGGGACTTTAATGAATGGGGTAGCACATATGATCCGCACTGTATCTGGGCTAATCAAATTAACAAACAAAAGACAGAGGAGAGAGACACTGCCTCTCCGACTGTTTGAACAGAATGGCCCGTAAATGAGCCGACTGCTGACTGCGATTGATACTGGTTCACTGGCTTGTACTCGGTGTTGCAGCCTGTAAGCGATTAGGTGACATTCTTTGAATGAACTGATCTGTGACATGAGCCCGGAGAAATTTGTCGAAAGAAAGTACCACGCCTGTGTTTTCATAATGCCCACACAGTTTTATGGTGAGATTTCTTTCTTTCCTGTCTTTTAAAAATTCCACATGTATAAAATCTAATGTGTACAGTGTACATACATACATACATACATGTACAACTACACGTATACAGTGATTTAATTAAAGGTCTCTTGTTCCATTGTGTCCACTTGACAAGTTACTGGTGGTGGGTTGGCTACTGAGCATGCAACAGCCAAAGAGATAATAGCCTATGTAACCAACTGGCTGTCATAATATCAGTGAGAGGTTCTTGAGAATACTCTACAACTTGTAGTTTCTGTTCAAGTTACTCATCTGAACAGCACTGTTGTACGACTCCAATCCCAACTCAGACTCACGTCTGGACTCAATCCACCTTTTTATGGACTCGGACATGGCCCTTCTGGACGCGGTCTCAGACTCAGATGTAAAGACTCGAAGGACTCAGTCCAAGTCCAGCATGAGTCCGGCAAGAACTGAATTTTTTTGACAGATCAATCCCTATGATGTGATGTATTACAAATATGTACCGAAATAAACCCGATGCATCACTTTACCTTGACTCAGAGATATTCAGATATGATTTCCCCATATGGTTTTACCTTGAATAGTGGGTTCAGAGCTTGTCCATCACTCTCTATAATTCACTGATGTAGAGACATGCATTCTTGACATGCTATGGACCCACAGAAAGGCATAGACCACCAAACTGCATTCAAAACCACATGAACATTTCGTGATCTGCGCGGCACCCTACTAAAATCAAAACTAGGGGCAAATTCACCCCTCGGTATAGGGACTTTAAGCACAGTTAAAGAATTCCAGTCTTCAAATGTTATATTTTTTGGATTGTAAAAAAAAATCCTTATTTACTTAATCAAGCCAATATGTAGATTTGAAACAATGCGGTTGCAACACTTGAAAAGAAGAGATAACAGAAGGCCGACAAAAGCAAAAAAGTGAACATACCTTTACGTTGAATTTTGGGAACACATGTAAACAAATGCAGGCACTGTAAGTGCGTTGCGCGTAATGCACATTGAACAAGCCGTCATCCACTGTTTCACCCATTGTTTGCCAATACTTTTCAAAATCATCGTTAAACACGCGAGACTGATCGTCTATGCATTAATACATGCATGTCTGTGAGTGGACTTGAGTCACCACGTCCAATACCCTGTGATGAGATGTGGTTTTTGACTGGGCACCTGTGCATTATTGACAATAATCTATTGTACACGTGAAAAGCATACATGTACAGTTGTAGATTTACATGTAATTTGAAGGACTCCAACTCAGACTTTGAGGACTCCGACTTGACTGGGACTCGGAGCTGAATGGACTCAGACTCAGATGCAAGGACTCGGACTCAGATGCAAGGACTCGGACTCGGATGCAAGGACTCAGAAGCAGTGTTGTAGTCAAGACCATCAGAAGACCAGACACAAGACCAGACACATGACCAGATACATGACCATTCACATGACTAGTCACAAGTAACAGGGTGAACAATGACAAAGGCATGTTTTTGTTGCAGTTCATTTGAATAGCTTGTGGCTTGAATTCAGACTGGAGGTCTTATGTTGGTCTTGTGCTGGTCTTGTGAATGTCTTAAGTGGTCTTGACTTCAACACTGCTCGGATGCAAGGACTCGGTCTCGGGTGCGGTGAACTCAAATACAACACTGCCAAACAGTTTTTCCATGTAAAAGTCCTCTTAACTTTGCTGAAATCTTTGGGAATAAAACTTTTGGTGGTTGAATGACAACATTATGTCACTGCATTTTCTTAAAAATTTTGGAGAGTCTACATGTAACAGCAGAATACATGTACAGTATATTCGTACATGAGCAATAAAGCACACTGCTACATGAGAAGATTTGAGAAGTCGATGTTTAAATTTAACATCTACTTAAAAAATAAAAAAAACAAACAAATGCAAGGCCAACAATTTCAATATGACAATGTTGACATTTTTATTGGTTTGAGCAAAACTGCCCGCAGTATGCACTGAGGTCATACAGGCCACCTGGACTTCCGAAGTATAAAAATACCTACATGTGTAGTCACTAGAGACGATTCTTGCTGCATTTTATACAAAATTTCTTACTGTTGCTTGTGGTGCTCACCATCCAATGCACAGGAAATTATCAACCGGTACACCTAGAGACAACTTCTACAGCCCCAAGGTGGTACGGGCTCAGGTGAAGAAATGTCCGTCATTGTTACAGCTTGTCAACCCAACAACATCCCCCAGGGTATGTGTGTGTGTGGGGGAGGCTAAAGCCACTTCCTCCACCTGCTGCTAGAGGAAGGGGAAATCTTTTCCAGCTCCTATGCCGGAGTGGTGCCCGGATAGTCCTCCAGGAAAAATCTATCAGAAATGACTGAAGGTTGTGTACAGTGAAGGAAGATAAGGTGAGGGGTAAGCAATGTGAACGCTCCCAAGTGTTTCTGAGCGGCATGAATATTTCAGAACCGCCTCAAAAGATTCTACAGGTGCATGTAGCCTGTGACATCTACCAGTACATAAACACAGTGGTACAAGTATGTACACTCTCCTGCTGCAAGGTCAAATACCGTACAACATTCACAACCTCCTTCCCTTGACAACCCAGTTGCAAACTTTCCCCCCGTACCAAGACCGAGAAAAACATCCGCGGGCTCAACATTGATTTTTGGTGGGGTCCTCACAAGCAAATTAGCACGATTTCATAGTTTGAGGTCCTCTATCCAACATGCTGATGTACATGTACCTGTACATGTACATGTGGGAGACCGACCCTGTACATGTACATGTATGTGCTCTAAGTGAAAGTCTGTGAAAATAGGAAGGAAATTGGCAAAGGAATCAACTGAAACAAACATTTTTGTTTGCATGACACCGTTTAGTAATTATGACTATTTTAGACTGCGTCCATCCACTGGCCAACTACAATACATGTAAATACTGTACCTGTATATAACCTATGTGGTGGAAATTTGTGGTAATCACCAAACTTTTGGAGGAGCCAGGAATATGAAGATTAACGATCAGATTGTAGGGCAGAGAAAATGCCCTCACATTCAAAGCAAAAAAAAACTCTGATGAAAATGTAAACTGATGGGTGGTGCAAATTTTACATGTTCTCGACAAATCCAGCTTTCGTACATGATGTACAATAAATAGAATTTTGACTTTACAATATATTTGTTTCTCTAAAATTCGGGTACATGCGCGTGATATGGCGGCTAAAATGAAGTACATGTCAGAATCTGGTTGATGGGGTGAAAGCTGTGTTACTTTAGAAACAAAAGTACATGTACCATCAGAAGCAGCCAAAGATCAAACCAACATCTTGGAAAAATCCCCCCAAACATGCCAAACACTGTCAAAAGCAAGGCTACTGTACCTCCTCCATTCTTCAAACACCCAAAGGAGAAATTCCTTTTTTTTTCTTGGCCTGACATGAATGGATACCCAAGCAAGTTTCCTCTGCCAAACAAAGTTCTTTTATTGTTCTATGCGCTTACAATATTTTCTTTCCCTCTTTGAGCAGCCCTTGCCTTATGAGTGGCCCTTGAAACAGCCATTTGATCTGGGGGGACTCTCATTAAAATTCTGTTCTGTGTATGAGTGCAGGTGGCAAGATGCAACATTCTACAAGCAGCATTAAAATTTACTTACATTTTTTTCTATGACTTGGGAAGGTGAGACTCGCAAGGATCTTGAAGCTAGTCACAAATTTTTACATACATGTATATGTACGATACTCTGTACTAACAGTCACAATGTACACCGTACCCCAGTGCAAGACACTTTATAACTCGTCAAAAAATGCTTGCCTATTTTTGTCACAACTGTAATCGATATGAATGCAGGTCAGAACTTGTATGCTAGAAACTGCAAGCTAGGCATTTCTACTGGCAGCTGAAATCCCCTTGCAATTCACATCATGAAATGATTCAAGTTACCCATTATAGGCCTACTGAAAAACAGTTTTGGAGTGCCACGGGGACTACTGTACAGCTCCTTGAGTCGTTTGTATCACAACAGTACCCCCAACACATGAATATTGAACTATGTGTACACGTCTTTGTAGGCCTCCACGTACAGGAACAAAACTACAAGACAAGCCATGACAAGACCAAGAGTGGATGATTCATACACTGCTGACAGACTGTGTGTACGTATTACTGAACTACATGTACATGTATGCTAGGCCTACATGTAGTTCATGCCATAATTACACCAGTACTTCAAAAAACGCAAAACAGTTCTGAAGATGCTTTGCCCATCTGGGACAAAAGCACCATAAATAGTGATTTTTTTTTGCATTGACAAAATCAATTAAATGGTCACATGCTAAATCTTGATACTGACACGAACTACGCGTTCTCCACACAAATGTTGACATATGCACACAGTGCACGCCTCGCCTGCTTGTAGTATAAGCGTTGAACTGAAACTCGCATGTCACACAATTAATTATCAGTGTACAAAAATACATCAACCCAGGTTTTCACACTGTTTAATTTACAAATAATTAGATAATATGAAAAATTTTCCCCAGAAGCGCCGTTCTATGAAAAAAAGCCTCAAAGTTCAATATCGCCTACCTCTTGCTTGCTCTGTCCTTTGTGCTAAAAAGACGGTAACGTACCGGCGCGCGAGCAGACGATAAAGTCGCTGGTACAATGAACTCTGTGTTATTAAAAGGATATGGCATTACGGAAACCAGTGGAAAAGGGCTGTCTCATACCTTGACGCGTTATCATGCTTTCTCATGACAGAATGTGCCATACATAAGCACCACGCTATTGACTTTCTCTTCCAAACCCGAGCCGTTTTCCAATACTCAATTCGGCTACGTGTCTGAGGCTTCAACTGTTTTTATTTACTACCTGACTTTGAAGCTGTAAGCGCACTAATTAGTCTAACAGTGCCACAAAACATCATTTAAGATGCAAGAGAGCAAAAACTTACAGTTATCCAATTTGATTTAAATGCTTCAGGTCCACCATCGGGGATTAGTTCCGGGGACGAAGCCTGCGTCGGAGACGAAATTGATTATTGGAAAACGGCCCTTAAGCTAGTATAGAGATCAGTGAGCCTCAGCCTGCCGGCCGCTCATTCGTGTAGGCGCACAAAACGGGTGTAAATACCATTTATTACTTTCGGAACAGACTATTTCAAGACAGGCTTGCATGCCAGCACTAAGACAAGAAGGAGACGGTCGGGCCCAAAGGCGAGGCAAGGGGGCGGTTTTCAAGGCATTAAAAAAAAGATTGTGTGGTTATGTATACGAGCATCATTAAACAGTGTCATGGGACATAAGGCTGAGTCAATTCGAATAATATTCAATTTGATCGAATATTTGGTCGTACCCACCTGCAGATTGTTGATGAACAAACCATATACAAAATCAGTTGTAATAACACACACACTTGCACATTATAATCAGTATAATATCTTCTCACATCTAGGAGTATCTCCAGCCATGATTTAGCAAGATTAAAGAGATGAACAAGAATTCTTGCCCTGTTGAAAATTTCTATCCTTTTAAATTGTTTAATGAATAGTTTACGTTTTGAATCGTAAGATTTCTGTCGCTTTTCATTTGAATCTGCTTGATACAAGCCTCCACGGTGTAATTTTTCTCATTTAAAACAAAAGAAAATTTTCCCATCTTTTTCATGAATTTTTCATTCGAATATTCAAAATCGGAAAATAGCATTCAATTATTCGATAATCGATCGAATATTCAGTTATTCGGCATAACCCTAACGGGAAAACGTTCGTAGAGATAGAATAATGCAAGGGGAAGAGGGTGAAGACTCTGGAAACCTATCTGCCGCCCAGGTACTCAAGGGGTGTCAACCGAGATTTACTGGCGTCAGTTATTATTTGTCCTTTTAATTTCCTATTTTTGGTGCTCGGCAGGGGCGGGTGCAGACCCTCCATTTCCCACGGTAGATCTGTCGACAGTGCAAAGAGATTTGTGTTGTTTAATAACTGTGGCTTAACTTCTGCCCGCTGGGCCACCTTCTGTCGCCACGTTGTCGCGCAGAGTTAACAGGGGATCCAACATGCTGGAGATAGAGCCAGTAGGCTTACCTTTTGTCACAAAAGCCCCGGAAATTCAGTGCCTTTTCTCACCTGACGTCAATTTGTGTCTACACGCAATAGCCTGCAGTTACAACTGTAAAAGCACAACGTAATGTGGCAGTTGGCTACCCTGGTATGATGAGGGGTGGATTAGTAGTTTTAAGCAGTCCTGGGGCCTAAAATTGCAACGCGCCGATCAAATCACAATTTGTATATGAGCGATACACTGGAGGGTTCGTAAAAATGAGGGGTCCCAAGTTCCAAGGCCTGGAGTGGTGAAACAGGACCGTCCCAGGCTGAATTCGCCCTATATTGCAATAAAAATGTAGGAATCATTTTTCAACATGGCGAAGGGGCTTTTTTGACTAGCCGTGTTCATATTTGCGAGGGAAAACTCACCCTAGAAGCATTAGTGAACCATCTGTCTTAACCAGTCTGTGATGGATAGGCCTATAGGAACTTTTTTATTTTAATGCCATACGCACGGTCGACAACCACAGGTAGATTTACACAGATTTATTAACTTTTGACGTATCTGTTGATTTTGTGAAAGCTTCATACTATATTAGGTCGGTATAGTAGCTTGGACAAGGAATGCGACACCAGCTCCATGGTTAACCAGCGTTATAAGACTGTTCCTGGTACCTTGTGCGGCACCGTTGGGAGGCTACCCGTGATAACGGATGCCAACAGCCTACGGAGTCCGGCCCTGGCCACACCTTTGAGAGTTCCAGACTTTGATTTTTGGTCACCTGTATTGACGGTCTTTATCGATTGTCTACTTTTTATTGGGGCTTTTTTTTTTAACCCCAGCTCCCACCTAATCTTTGGATGTTTCTCTCCATGTTCTTCTTGAAGCATGTTCTTGGTCCGAGGTTAGCGTTTAGTGCATGCGTATATTTGCAATGGGCACGTACAGAAATCATGATTAACTAGAGACCGTAATCGCGGCGAAGCCATGATGCCAGAATTTATTTTGTTTAATTATAACCTGTTAAATGGGGTGGGGCCTGACTATTTTGGGTTTCAAGCTTTCCGGTTCTTTTTTTTTAAACTTAACTTAAAACAATTCTGCTGTAGACTAACTGCGATGTTTCATCATTCTCAAGCTGAAAGCCAATATACCCTAGCTTTACAAACCTGGAATAATGAAAGAAGTTGCTGTGGTACCGGTGTTACTGCTGTTAATTATCATTGGTGAATTGAAGCTGCTGTTCTGCTCGTCATTAACTGCATCGAACACGCGCGATTGACTAAACAACAGCGTCCACTAATACGCTCCGCAGTCCCAATGGTTCTGATGCCATACTGGGCACGGTTTCAGTTACGAAAACTTCACAGTAACGAACTGTATTGTGGCTGAATACGTTTCCTCCCGCCGTTGTTGCACTTTTCCTTTTGTTGTCATTGCTTAGAAGATGATGCTCTCTTTTGAGAATAGAAAAAATTAAACATCTCAACAACTCTGCAGCACATAATAGGCCTTGCTTTTCCTGTATGACTCAATCCATATTTATTATCGCCATTTGTTCTATAGTTTTACAAACACACCCCTTCGTCTATTATCAGTTTGGCCTTTTTACACAAGTAAAATTTTGAACTCGAAAAATTATTCACATCATATAATTCCAGTTTAATTGAAGACACGGACAAATCAATGATTACGAATAATTCCAACCAATATTGTTCAAATCTGCAGCGGCCTTACTTACATGTATAACACTTCTAACTGCGAAGATGGTTCTTTTAAACTAACAACAGTTTTAGTTGTTTACAGTGCACAAACAAACGGAGGTGCAACCGACCCTAAGAAAGATGTAACAGTTTGGTAAATTTTCTCGTGCTAATTTGCTGCAGGATGAAATATATGGTTCTTATTTTGGACTCATGACATAAGCCAAAAATTCTTGACACTGACTAAAACAAAATAGTACAAACATCAGTGTTAATCACTTGCGTCAGTTTGGCGACTATGTTCGGGCTATGTTCTACATGTGAAATAGTCTGGAACCTGAACCTTTGAAGTAAGGCCCACTGGTGTCGGTAAGAAGTAAAGTCGTTCAGATTAACTACATAAGCTTCGGGAATACGCTTCTATTTACTGATTTTCTATTTCGTTTGAAGAGGTGTGCTGACTCATTGACAGACTTCTTTGAAATGGGTGAAAAATCGGTTAAATCTCGTTTCTGAGAATATGTTCGCTTGATTACTGAAATTAGTTATTCTCTTGAGGGCGCCCTAGGGGGGAAAGCTTGCCAAAGAACAGTCTGAGAGGGCACTGAGTGCGAGACCATTAAATCTAAGACATTAATTGACAGTACTGATCAATATTAGAATACTTAAATACGTAAATGTAAGATCTATGTTTTCAAAGCAAAAGTCAAAAATACTTATTCACAAGCTCTAAGTTTTAAAATTCAACAGGATCGCGGTGAAAGAAAAATAAAAATGACCAGTCAAATCGTATTTAAGTTTGACCAAGTTGATTTTTAGTTGCACTACATTCCGTAATGAAGGGTGGAAAGTCAGCGAATAACAATTAAAACGAGGACAATAGATGAATTCAGTAGATATGAGTTACTCCTCACAAGAGATTACTATGACATTGGCACGTGAATTAACGATTCCGCAGTTGTCGCATCTACGGAGCCCAAATAAAGGCCTTAGCCATTCTTCGCTAAGGATGATTTGCTCAACAAATTTACTAAAGCAAGAGTGCAAAGGAGGATACATTTTGAGTTAAAGCCGAAGTCATGCAAAAAGGTGCATTATCTGAAGTGTATTAATTTTCCTATTGCTGATACAAAGAGGATCTGCACTAGCCTTAATATTGTGTAGATTCTGGCGAATTTCCCTTCTATAGCTTTTTCCCACCTAGTTTTGGCCCGTTTTCCCTTGCTTGTCTGTGTCCACACGGCAATTTAGGCCCACCTGAAATTCACCAGTACCCTTTGTGATACGTTTCACAAGGGATACTGTTGATGTAAAGCCAAGGGAAAGTATCCCTCTGAAACCGATCCATTTTGGAAAATAACTTCTCACAGGAAAAAACCTCATACAATCGCTTTCCCTCTTGCAGACCGA